CAGCTTTGAGGTCTATGTTGCCGTAGGTCACTGTCAAATCTCTTTTCTGAGGGGGTTGTGGAGATTTGGAAATATTTCAAGTTGTTATTCATCGAAGACTGACATCAGTTGGAGGAACAAAGGAAACCTGGGAGCGCTGGACAGCTGTTTCGTCCTAGTATGGGACTCCTCGGCAGTGCGCACCCACGACCCACCAGCAGGGATCGAACCCGCGACCTTCAGGTCCCGCAGCCAGCGCGTTACCACTGAGCCACGATGACATTGGGTGGCGGTTTGCGCTATATCGTGAGCTAACAGAAGTTGGAAATATGGAGCATTGGATTCTGACCCAGTGGCTCAATGGTAACGCGCTGGCTGCGGGACCTGAAGGTCGCGGGTTCGATCCCTGCTGGTGGGGTCGTGGGTGCGCACTGCCGAGGAGTCCCATACTAGGACGAAACAGCTGTCCAGCGCTCCCAGGTTTCCTTTGTTCCTCCAACTGATGTCAGTCTTCGATGAATAACAACCTGAAATCTCTTTTCGTTTCATTATCTTTCTTATTATTGAATTCCTTTGCGTCATATTTGTCCTTCCCCCACTTCCAGTTTTCATATACAATCCCTTGACAAGTAAATGTGTGGTCAGTTTGTTCGAAATGTATAGCGCAAAATACATTACATTTTTCAGATAATCTACGTCTTCTAATTACACTATCCAAATTCATAAAAGGGACTAATTGTTTCAAATTCTTGACTATTGACAGTTAGATGACCTGATGTATTCTCAATTATGCTTTTAGTCTGTTTCATCACATCAATTAAAGTATCAACAGTAAACCTCTACTGATGTTTTAAACACGCATGAATGAGCAATTTTAGCCAGGTAAAATGAAGAGTTAACACTCAATTATTCTCTGAAAACTGATTCCAATTATACTGATCTTCACTCAGATTATAGGAACTGACTTCTGAATTAAGTCTATTTTCTGTAAAAGTAAATTTAAATAACCTTTTAATCCCATATAAGAGTTAGTTTGTCCAGCTACGAATGAACATCATTTGGGCATCACTGAATCTCATGGAGTTCCAAACAAATATTTAACTGTAGTTTGGTAGCTCTTACCAACGCACACTATTAGTCTCACACTTCAGTCACTTTGCAATTTACAGCTAAAATCATCTTACATTGTCGAACGCTAACTGTCTTCACATTCCTCACTTGGTTGACCAAACAGGTCATAGGTTCCAGTTAAATATTGGAAAAGGTCATCTTATCGAGTTCTTTAGTCTTCGGTGAATGGAACTGAATACAATTTTTATTCCGAACTAAGATAAGGTGGCGTTTTAGTGACCATTCTCTATATATCACTCAGCATTTAAAGCTATCTTCAAACAATTGATTTTCTCACACAATACCTGACTGGATTATGAAAGCTTTTGTCAAGAAGCGAACACCCCAAAAACTACTTGTAATGCTGATAATAAGGTTATTAATTTCATACAGTCTTAAAGAAAATCAATATACCAGTCAGTTTCTCTGGTTAATACTACTAAAGTAACAGCTAACTGATTTGTCTATGCTGTGGCTGTTCATCGACTAAGATGAAGTCGACAGGGGTTTCTCAGGCCAAGCTCCCACTTACATTGACTTACGATGTTAGCTGAGGTAAGATTGGATTACAAGAAGAATAAGGACTGTCAAACCAAGATGTAGCAGTTCATGAAGTCTTTGACTGTCAGTTTGAGCTGTGTGTGGAAGTGCGTACTGCTTAATTGAAGTCCTCAGGACGACAGGAATCAATGGTTGAAGACCTTTGCTGGCATGGTTGAAAATTGGTCGAAGTTACAGAAATGTATTCACTCTTTGGTATCTTCATAAGTTTAAAGTTCCTCACTAACCTTGATTTCCAAATTCTTCCTTATATTTTGACATCACTCTTTTTCCATCGACATATTGTTCACATCCTGCTGTGAAATATGGCAACTTTGACCCTTATACTTCTGTTTGATATTTTACCTTAATTTTTCCATCTGTGTCTTGTTGTTAGCCAAAGTTAGGAGTTATCTTCCTATTTTTGTTGCCAAAATTGTTAGTCTCTTATCTAATAAATTTCTTGAACAGAATAAAACTCAGCCAGCATGTTATACTAACAGACATTCTACAATCAAATGTACTATTCTATCACTGCATGGTAACCATTTAGTTGAAAAATAAAATATCTCATTCGAGACCCAATGAATAAATATGCCTTCAGACCAGTCAACTGAGGTAATTAAGTCAGGTGTTTCTAGGGACTAAGTCATGAATTTCCTCAGTCGCATTTACCAAAAGGCACTCATAATTAAACATTCAGGACAACCAACCAATCCTTGAAAGGATTGTTGAAACTTTGAGTAGAATAAATGCATGCGAAATACACTCTGACTTTTAACAAACGTACAAATGAAACTGAATTAATATCAGGATTTTTATTCTAGCCGACTGGAGCTCTACAGTCCTCGACCTCCAACCTCAACGGAACTGACGTTTCATCTATAACTGGGACCCATGATACCCAATACTGCAGTTGGAGATCCTACCACTTAGCCATTCGGGTCCCGATCAACCTCCTATGGGACTAGATTAAATACAGTAATTGGTCACTGAAGAACAGCCAGTTTCGTGCTGTTTATTCCTAGGTGCTTATCAAATCGCGTCGATAATTTTGCTATTTGGTTACTAGGCTATTAGACTCACCATCATGATGCTTGTTTTACTGTTGTAGTGATTTTTGGTTTGATAATTATTCTATTAATTTAGATATTTCGAGAAGGAGCTGTTAACACTACATTGAATTGTATTTATATTCAAAGAATTACGAGTATTTTATTGAACAGTCTACTGAACAAAAGCGATGGTGTACTGGTAGGGTTTGCATATTCACTGAGCATGTTAAACGAAAAACAAAATAGTCTCCTGTTGTTTCCTAAGCCTTCGAACACTTAACCATTTTGTGTATAGGTTTGAACAGGTGTGATTAATGCACTTTCAAGTTGATTATATGGGTGTACCTTGACGGTAAAATATGTCGTTGAAAATTCTTGCAGACGGTGACCTATCAGTCACTCATAACCAATCTATTTGAAGGAAATTTATAAAAAAACAACATGAGCTATATAACCGAACTTAAAGAACCTCTTAATCGTAGGGTAAATCTGTTACTTTTATTGACATTTAAAACCGAAACAAACAGGATTTTGATAGATTACCATGATATTTTCAACTTAGGTAATCCTATAGTCAATAAATGTATGATTAGAGTAAAAGATGCCCAAAATGAAAATACAAAAAAACAATTCTAACATCATAACATCTATCAAGCGAGTTCTTGTCATGAATAACCAGTTAAATTTAGTGTTATTATTGTATGAAACGAAACAAGAAGACTTGAAACTTGAAGGTGATATTAAAAACATCTTTTTGAGTGGAAAGGAAAAGTCCCTTCTAATTTTCTTTTATATGTATCACGTAGTGGAATAGAATACTATTTACTGATGACGTTTCGAGTCATATTTATTGTTCACAATCATATCAAAGCATGTTGTATGAACTACTATGAAATTTTTTATTCTACCACAGTGCCCGAATTCTTTCCTTCTATTCAAGTAAAATGTCAGCTATCAAATAGCGTTAGATCATGTTAAACTAGATTTGTAACCTCAAAGCGTAAACAACTTAATCATGCCTCTGAATATAATTATGAATATACGCTACTGATATGCAGAAGCATGAAAACCATTCCAGTTTTTACAGTGACGGAGTAGCCAGGCATACTTGGAGTCGGAACTATGAAATTTTACAGAAGGAATATGCAAGTCATCAACCTGGCACAGGTTTTCCTTCTAGGCTATGAGACACACTTTATGTATGAGGGTTTATGATGATACCTACTTTCCCAAGCAAAAGAAATTGGAATGAGGCGTGAACTCATGATCTATTGGTTAGATGTTGTATGTGTGGGCCACTGAACCGCAGCTCCATATATTTCTCATGAGATATGTATGTACTATATTATTGACATGACCAAACTGAATATCACATCTGTTTTATCGTAGATCTGTAGATCAGAAATGTAGGTACTGGCTTGTAAAATATATTTTGTAATAGTCTTGCATCAATTCATGCAGTCTGTTTAAATAGCAAAGGGTAAATAACGTTTCAGCGTAATAAACCAAACTGTGAATTTTGATTGGACTGTATTTGCGTGTACTTTAAAATCAAGGAAAATTGTAGAACAGAAGGTAAACTAACAACTACAGCATCTCAACTACAGATTTTTTAATTTTGGTATAAACTGCTTACTGGAAAGTGAAATTTTTTCCATGCTGTCTTATTTCAGGAGCACTTAGCATTGTATGCTTGGAATGATAAGGAATGATGAATCAGGAGAAAACCGTTATGTTATCATCACCTAATGAATATTTGTTCTGATGATGTTAGTTGTCGATGACAAGTTTCTTCAAACTAGTAATTTCCCTAGATTTGTTTAATTTGACTGCTCATTTTCGCGTCAGCTTGCAATGGCATGTATGAAATTTCAGTGTGCGACAATTCTTGACCTGTGGTCCGTCAAAGTTGGAAATGATGACAGATGTCTACGGATGAAAGTGAAGGACAGTAATACTGCCACGTGATCAATATTTAGTTGAGATATAACCCACTGAAATTGACCTCATTCACTGGAAAGTGGTGTGTTTATTATGCTGCCTAAGGTTTTGAATTCGAGTGTGAAAAGGTGTAGGTTCTCAATCCTAAAGGGTACCAAAGCAGAAACGAACATCCCTCAGAGACTTCATATTTTTCAGTGGCCTATTAATTATTGTCCATTCATGATATAAATTACCTTCAGATCTCAGTCACTACTCTGAAATCATCTACTTATAGTTTGTATTTTAATAAAGCACTTTTTTTCGTATCATTAAACTTTAAATCCCTATAATGTACAAATAAAATCATTCTTTTTGTCGATATTATCAACTCAGATTTATTCAATCAAGCTATCATGATGTCCGGGGCTGATTTATCGCAGTGGGCGTTTAGTGATCCAGAAAAAGTTCGTACACGATATTACGCAATTGAACTGGCTCGGAGACTAGGCTGTCCATCAGTACAAAGTAAAGAAGTTTTACAATCACAAGAGGCAGTAAGCAACACAAATCCACATCGACTGCATGCAAGTAAAGCATTTGAACAGCCATTTGGTAAATCCTATGTTAAGCAACACTTGAATATTCCGTATTCAGTACAAGTTGACGCTTATGCAATGATTTATTGTCTACGATATGAAAAAACAGCAGAACAGATCAATAATGTTGTACTGTGAGTAAATACTGATTTATGGAAATGTTCATACTTTGATAATAAACATATCAATATTGTAATGGGATTTTCTTCAATTTACACTCCGAGTCATCTGTTCGAATGAGCCACAGTCCCCTTATGAAGTTCAAGCAAAAATATACAGACTATTTTAGGGACGAATGGGAGTTATTTTAAGAATGTTGTTGAACTAATTTTTTAATACTTCACACCTCCAGTGTCCTAATTCATGACTTTTCGATCTGCTTCAGAGAACGTTATAGTATCCCAATTAGTCTAACGATGGACACCTAGAAGAAATACCAAATTGAACTGCTATTTGATCTTGCCTTGTGATACCACCCATCTTCTGCATGGTTTACTCAGAAAATATCGAAATAATCATGGTTATCTTCAAAATCAAGCCAGATGATTAATCGGATAAAGTGGTCACTTGTGAATACTGATGAAGGAGGATATGTTTATATCTATATGACTGACAATTTGACAGTTTGTAACAATCAACCATGGTATGGGTTTCATCCAACTATAAAACTGTCTCGTAGGCGTTTGACTAACAGACGAAACAGTGTAACCGGTGTGAACTCCAAGTGCTGATATTTAAAACCATGCATTTGCACAACAATCACCAAGGAAAGGTAAAGGAATGAGACAATGCTGGCTCGTTTGCAGTCTAAAACAACTTTGAAAGCTGTTTATATAACTCACCTTTTTGATACATTATTAGAAAATGAGATTCGAACTGAATCACTCCTTAATTTTATTTACTGCGTACACACTACATATAGCACAAAAGAAAAGACTAGAAATCTGAACCATCATTATCTTCATATGTAACTTTCAAGGTGGTATTCACCACGGAGTGACATCAACTGGAGGACCATTGGAAACCTGGGATCATTGGACACCTGTTTCGTCTTAGTTAGGGACTCTTGATCAGTTCGCACTCAGAAACTTGGGTTCGATCCCTAGTGCGATCGTGAGAACCAATCTTCTGAGGAATCTCATACTAAAACGGAACAGCTGTTCACGGCTCCCAGGTTTCTAGTCGTTCTCTTGCTGATCTCAATCCATAATATATATACCACAGTGAAATCAATAAATCCCCACAAACCTTCAAAGTGAATTACAATTTGACTGTTGTGTCAAACCTGCACTAACGAAGTCAAAAATGGTATACTATATGAAGAAGTGAAAATTTACTGCTTAGAGTAAAATGAAGTTATCTTTACTAATACTTCTGTTTAACTTACAAAAACTATACTGATCATTCTAATGACAGATTTGTATTACAAAATGATATCTGAACGTAGAGGGTATTTTTTAATTATTAAAAGCAGTAAATAATTTCAACTACTTTTGAATATAAACTTAACACTTGAAGGTACCACTGTTATCTGCAAATGTAACATTAAAGTGTTTTAGTAGAAAAATAAATGAGATTATTTCTACTTGTTATTACTTGCTTAACGCAGCACAAGTGTCAGTGAACGTTAGCCATAAACTATTCGCATTGATCATAAGTAGATTTAACGCGTTAGATCGGGAGGAATTTAAAAGCTGGATATCGTCCCTTAATTGCTTAAATAAGCGCGAAATATGCTTGAAGTAGGATAACTGTAGGTGTGAAAGCTCCAATATTCTACCACATAAATCTAATTGACTTGGATAAACCGATATTCTATTTAATCTGCTTTCAAATCTTTATTTATCAGAATACACTACTGGTGACCTCACGAGTGAATAGTAAAAAAGATATCTAGCTAGCAAAACCTACTTCTTAGTACACATGGCGCCTGATTTGATGTTTTTCAACAGTATATTTAAATTGATGAGTTACATTGAACACCTCTTTGTTTCCCAAACTAAATGGGGTCTGCCAGAATAAACCATTCTAGCGCTAAAGATAGCTGCTAAAAATCTTTTATCGGTTATAAATGTCAAAAAAGAAAATACTGTTCCTGAATATTCCTATTTAAATACTGTCTAACATACACTCGTAAAACACTATATTTTTTTAAATATTATAGTATAAAGATTAAGAAATTTCTACTATCATTTCGATTTCAGTGAATTGCATTCTCTTCCTGGAGCACCATCATTTGTATGGACACCAGTTGTAGACGGGGTATCTGGATTTTTTCCACGCACACCAGCTAGAGAACGTGTATTAGGTAATTTTGCCAAATTACCACTTCTTGCAGGTGTAGTTCGCGATGAAGGTTCCTTAGCTTTAGAGCACTTTTTATACCGTAAGTTAATTTGTCGTTACTTCTTATTCTTGTTATTGATGTTATTTTATAACATTTTATGGTTCAACTAAACTTTAGTGACCGTGAATCACTTTCAATTAGGCGATGACCGATCAGAGTCAAGAATATGAAGGATAAGGTATTAAAGAAAATGGTGCTTGATTTGCAGTTTAATAATCTGTTTTACATAAGTAGTAAAGATGTCTTAATTATAAATTGGTGTATCATCTTTGAAACCATACCACTGTCTGCACTACCATCAGTCCACATGAGGTAATATCATTGAAATGATATTTGGGAAATTTCGCGTTGTGATCCCGTTAAAGGTTTTAAGAACTTTCTAAGACGACTCCATATATTTTCACAGTTGTTTGTATGCACCCTAGCTGTCAGCTCACTGAAGTACTTTTTGTGAACAATATCTTTATGGGGGTAACCTATTTCCGATGAAGGTATATATGACTTTCAAGCCTCTATATACATTGTGGTACCAAATGCCACGTGTTTTTGCAAAACTGTTAAGGTTAATTTTCCTGATCTATTCATTATCCACTGAAAATATCTTTTCCCCTTATTTCGCTGGTATACACTGGGTAAGTTACAACTTACCCAGTTGTGTTTAAGTCATCTTCTTAGGTTACATTCAAGTTTCCGAACAATATATTCATTTGTTTCAACCACAGTACCTTCTCTAACAAATTTCACATGCATCCTGCAGCGTAATCTCCGTTATAATACACCAAAGGGTTATGCGACGTCAAAACGCAGTAAATTGACTTAACGAATAGCTTGAGTAATTCATCTCAAGAGTGATTGGCTGTCTTTAAGGTTTCATGTCACTGAAGTTTAGTTGCACCCATTTTATTTTTCAGAGAAGACTGTAACATCCATTCACCCTTTCTATGGAGAGTTATTTTTTAAAAGTTAAATTAAAACCACATCAGAGATGACTTTCAAACACCAACTTAAATTTATAGTTATATTACGGACCTAGTCGAGACAAATTGATCTACACTGATGACCAAAGTGTTTAACATCTATTATTCTTCAGTGAAAGATTAGTGAAGCCTATTCACTTTTATGAATGGTTAACCATGACGTCATGAAGATTCTGACAGTTATGTATGCTGATATGGTTCTGATTTTGACGGAATACTAGTTTTATTACAGATTTAGTTATGGTTTAGTGATGCTTGAAAAAGAGTAAAAAGATGTATTATACACACACTTCTGCAGGCTGCCTCATATCATTCAACCAATTGATGATATTTCTCTATTGGTTTATTTTTTCATAAACTTTGCTCTAATTATGCGCTATTGGTCAGGATTTCTAGTATTATAATACTTTTCAATTTGCTCAAACTAGTTGACCAAGAAACTGGCTGGGATAATTTTCATCTGAGACCATTTCAAGCTATACAGTTGCGTAAATATCAAAAATTTCCAAAACAAAAATATAAAACGAATATGATTGTTTTGATTTCTCTTCCTTTCTTCTAATGACTTTGCATGACTTTCACTTATATCTTTCTCTACCTTTCATCTTGTGGTCTTGTATGCTAACATGTTGACTGATGTGACATGTGGCAAACTGGAGCTCTACGCAGTAGTGTCAGGTAACATGTTGATAATAAATGGTTGACTGACTGAATCAACTCAAATCGTAGAACTAGTAATGACGATTTTATATTACTCTACAACTGTTTGGTGTTAAACATGCAACCACTAGTAGATTAGCATCTACCTAAGTAGTGATTTATTCTAGTAAAAGGTTAGGGTGAAGAAGAACTCATTTTTCCCATTGACAATCTACTTATACAGCGGAATTCAGAAGCAAAACGAAAAGTAGAGAAAATGGAAATCGATGCTTCATTGTACACATACAGTATCTCTACTGAAGCTGATAAAGCTAAAATAATATACAGACTTGAATGGAAAACATTTCAAAAAAATAGAAGTAGGACAAGTAGGGTTTCGAGTACCTTTCTATTTTGCGTACATATTTATCACACTTGAATGATTTTTCGCCACAAAAATTGCTGTTGGCATCGGAAATTAGTTACAGATCAGAATTAGACCTAACAGTATACAGTCGTTGAAGATCGAGGACGTAATAACGTTATTGCTATATGTATAAGTGAAGATCACTTGGTGAATAACGTTAAGGTTTAGATTTATGGGTAAAAGAAAAGAATCAGTAAACAGGGTTCCGAACTAGGATGAATTCTTTTGCCTAGGTCATATATAACGCATGATAAACTTTCACCTACAATGTGAAAAGAAGTAGGATTCAGTTGGGAAAAGCTGTGAGCCGAGTTCTAAGATATAACACAAATACCTCAATTTAATGACCATTGGTCCGAATGATGTAGGAAATTGTAGCCACCTATATGAAAGTCTTCAGTATGTTCCCCTTCTAATAGTGTTCTAAAAAACAGCTGTTTTCTTCTTGTCGTTTTTCTGCTTTTGTAATATTTTAAATTATGGTGACTTCAGTCAATATTATTTCTATATGGTTTTATACTCTGGTTTGTCTAACTTCTTAATGAAAATTTCTATTGAACTGTAAAATTTTAAAAAATACATGATCTTAAATGAAACACTTGTAGAACAAAGTGATTAATCAGTTTACGATTATATATCACACTAGATAAAAGAAGGATACAACATTTAAGTACGCTTGATGTACATACGCATCAACATATACACATCAGTTGATGTTTAAAACGAAATTACAATAACTAAGTGGTTCAGCTCTTCAAAGTTTACAATATTTGGTCATTGAATCAAAGCCGAATCTGTTTGTTTAGACTGAAGTAACCAGATAATCATTTGTGATAAGCTTTATCTTCAAATTTTTCATTCTCTCACACAACTTTGTCTACTTTAATATCAGTCATTCTTAACCATCTATTCTTTATATGCTAATGTGAAGTGTGATAACTTGAACCGATGCACTTGTATGCGAGATTCTACGTTGACTTTATCTGTCTGTCTGTATCTGTGAATATGAGATATGAACTCACCCTTAAAACCCTATTCGCTGATACATGGTCTTTCTTCATCTACAGAATTAGATCAGAATGGTTATGCAATTAACAATTTCACAGACAATGTTGTAAGACGTTTTATTGGTGTACTTCTAAATGATCGCAACGTCTTTCGACATAATCAAACTGCTGAAGAGTTGTATGCACGTTATACGTGGTGGCCAAATCTAGAAAATAATACTGCACGGTGGAAACGAATTGTAGACGTAAGTTTAGATTTGATTAATTTTTATCATTTTTAACGTTATTGATTAAGATTGGAACGAATTTTATCTATCAGTAAGCTCAGTTGTTAACTCGTAAGTTTTAGGAGGGATTTTCAGTCAATCATCGAAATGAGTTGTGGTCAAATGTTGTTGCATACTTTTTGAAGAGAGGAAAAAGTGGCGTCTATCACTCTGCGATTTAAAATAATTAAGCAATTTCAAAAGTGTCAAAATATTGTTTTAACAGAGTTTCATAGTATACTTGTAGTCATCTAGACAATATTTTCACAAGGACATAGTATCTTCATCCTAACAGCAACTAAGTCCCGAAAGGTTTCAGGGGAAAGCTGGATTTAAGCCCTTTAAATATAATCTGTAAGAATCACCTTTGTTAAACTAATTATACAATATTTGTACGTTAAATGATTCCTTCCAGATTATTTCTTTAAAACCACTTCAGCCAAATATCTATATTATCTTGGTGCATGTAACTGCTGTCCACCAGCATGACTGTCTCAACTCAAATTTAAAAGTAACTGCTCATCAGCTAAGCGTATACTTTTTTATTACTTTTTTCTTCATACGTGATCATTCCTTTAGACATTAGTTTTGTACTATGGGAGAGCTTGTTCCCTCGAAGTTCAACCTTACCGGTGGTAACAAAATAAGCAGTTTCTGTTATAGTGTACATTGCTAAACTATGATGGGTGCCTGAGGCCAAAGTCGTACTCCTAACTGAATGGACCTGTGACAGCATTAAAGTGTTTCCGTGGATAGGCATTAGTGTCATTCAGATGCTGCTATCCCTATAGAAAGCAGCGTTAGCAGAGGTCAAACATAAAAATAGAACACACACTTTGCCTCATGGCATTACCATCACCGGCGATAAGGATTCATAGACCGATTCGCGATGTCGGCAACCAGGAAGTGTCAGTGACCCTCACAACTCTGTCAGCACTAAAGTTCCCCCAAATCACTGTCACCTTTCTCCATCCTTGGCTTCTAAACTTTCGTCATTTCTCTCAGTTGCAATTCTAAAATTCATCTTCAATTTCCTTCGGCCCAACAGCTTTTGATAACAACTTGATTTCACAGGAAAACATTTCTCGTCTCTTGAAACCTCACTCTAGACTCCATAGTGAAACTTTCGATGTCTGGACCTACTTTCAAATCGGCCAACAAGCCTCACTAGCTAAAACTTTGTCATTTCGGGCCAAAGATATGTGCTTTGTTTGTGAAATATGCATACAGGGCCAAAGTGTAGCAATTCACTGAACCTCACCCAGTCAGTGTGGTGAATATGAAAAATTTACCCTGGGTTTCCGAAGATTTCAATGGCTAATCCTCGTGACACCACACGTGTATCCACAGCACTAAGTGCACTGCTCGATTGGATGCAAGTTGACAGTCGCCTATGCGTAGTTCGACTTAACGGAACAGTGAGGACTGAAAATAATAGTAAAACTTGTCTTCATCTCTTAGAAATCTCCGCGTACGCACCCACTGACTTCCGCTCCGATGAACAGAATGAAGAGTTTTAACAAAAACCGTATAGTTTCTTACTGAAAGCTAAACAGAAGAGCACTTACGTGACACTTTCGGTAACTTAGATGAAAAAATGGATACCGGCGATCACCTGATATAACTGTGCTCATAAAACCACGTATCTATCACCAGCAGGAATTTCAGGAAAAAAAGAGAGGCACTGTCTGACGTGGCGTCCATCGGTCTCACTGGTGAAGACAAATAGACCATATTGCTACCAGATATCACTGGGAAAAGTTCGGTTGAAGGCTGTTGCTCCTTCTACAGCACATGTTGACGCAGTGATCATACTTCGTTCCGGGCACATGTATATTTGCACCTAAATGGACGTCGGAAATCTACAGTAGCAATGCAACAGCGAAACTTCTGTGTATACACTAAAGACTCGATCTGCTAAGATCAAATAATACCATTTATGGTGCTTTCATGATATCCGATTGCTAACTAATAGTAAAGTGTACTTCCCTCTGGGTAGCTCTGTTCTACTACACGACTATGAAACAAAGCTACGAAGGTGGAGAAGGCTTCCGTTGCTCGACCACAGTCGCCTTCGTAGCACAGGTCGTATGTGACACTGCACAATGTTAGCTAAAGTAGGTTCAGGATGTGCGATGGTCAAATTCAGTCAGACAAAAGCACCACATTAGTGGATGAAAATGTCTGACTGTTGACTCAAGCTGTGTAGAGAAATGTAGACTTTCCGGCTGGGTTCCGCTGGACAATAGAAACCAGTGGTTGGAGACTAGGCGATGTGGCTCAGAATGGACCTCAACACACAGTTGTGTCTACACATTATCTTCACTTTAATCCTCACACTGAGTTTCAGTATCGTCTCATTCGCCTTCGCTCTATCTTAATGACGCTGTACCAATTTCAACTGTTTCCTTTATTTCTTTATCCTCAATCTTGTTGCATTTTTGCCCAATGTGCTGATGTTGTCTATGGCAACTTTGACCTTTACACAGTAATGCCAGGTCTGTTTGTCTTATACTTTGTAGAAACAATTCATTGTTTAAAGTGATTAGTTTTGCACTATCTAATGGAATTATTTTCATAGATATTTCAAACTAGGAATAATAGATTGCCTTCATTAACAGCTAAGGATATATTTGATCCGGTAAAGCGAGACTCAAAGCAAATTGGTTCGTCTTCACCGTGTACGGATGCATACACAAGTCATATAGGATCATATCATACGCTAGAACTCGTATGTATCTTGTCGGTTGGTCCTAGTAGCCTTAGAACTCAATCAAATAACTGAAAATAATAAACTTGAGGGTGATAATAACAGGGATCCTAAATTCTTTCTAAAACAGGAAGCTTAACCATATTGAATTTCCAAAGCATCCCAGTTCAGAAATCCTATATAGTATTCTATTTTTAGAGTTGTAAGTAAAAAACTGTTAAACTATTAGTTTATAGAGGTTGAATGACGAATCGTATACTTGCTATGAATAAAACCTCTTTGTTAATTTACTACTCATTTGTTGTACTTGCTACTAACTCTTTGTCTGTGAATGCTAACAGGGCCTTTCATTTCGTTGGTCTGTTTCGGTTTGGCGTTACCTATGAGTAACACAGTTAGTGCATGCTAGTGCCATATTCTTGAACCCATTAGTTGTATTTCATGTCCGAATTCACCTCCACTACCCTTCAGGACTATCAGCATCCAGTAACTGATTTATTGTGAAGATAACTATGTAAAAGAGAAATATGACTGCTGTTTTGACTGTTTGGCTTGACTTCTACTATCATAAAAGAATGATAAGTGTAGTTGTGACGAACTTGAATATGGGCTATCAACTAGCTTCTCGATTGTTTGCCCATAAACCTTAAAAGGAATTATACCTACTTCGCTACAAAACTTAACTGCAGTCAAACTTAGATTTCACTTCATTCACTATTGTATGAGTAAAGTCTGCTAACCTATTTTGTTGAATTATCAGTTATCCAAATTTTCCATCTTCTTACCTAATTCTACTGTGCTCAGATGAGTAGTAGTTGAAATAAAAGTGCGGATATTTAGTAAGTGAACTGGAGATCGAAAGAAAATTGGTAATCAGTTATTTTGGTTCATTGACTTAAAGATAAAATTTTCAATCAGCAGACCGTGAGTTCAAATCATATTCTTTTTACTAAGCTTTAGGCAGATGTACGGAATACCACTGGACCTCAACTAAATGGCATTACTCTGAACTAAGTGTACTGAAATGCAATTGACGATGTATTTTAAGAAGTATCATATCATTAGTCTAGAAGTGAATGGTATGAATACAACGTCGATTTTATCTCAGTGACTATGACAGCCATTCTTGCAACAACTGAAATAGCTATGTATTATAGCCGGCCTAAATAACGAAACCTAATTGATAATTCGATTTTGTACAACAGTGGCCTTTAGAGTCACCTCACCATATGTTTAGACACAATTGTTAATTAGCCATGCAAGCTGATAGATAAAATAGGACTGAAAATTTGCATTACTGAACTGTTTCAAACCTGATACTGCTTTGCCATAGATAGGTATCCACAGTTAAACATGTTAACGTACAATTATCGAATGGGTGCACTGTCAAAAAAAATTATTGTTTTGAGGAAAAATTATAAAAGGTTATAATGATAACCACGAATAGAAAACTTAATAATTCACATTTTGCAATGAATTTTATCGAAAATTAAGTGGAATAAAAATCTTTATAAGCTATCACGTTATCGTTTTGCGTGTGTGCGTAACATGTATGTAGCGAATTTTTACACAGTGAACTAGATAAACACGGTTCATTGTCTGGACGGTGATACTTAAATGACAGATAACCAACTAAATCATGTACGTAAAAGAATGAGAATAAAATGTTTCACCAACAAACTGATACTTTAAAATCAGCTCGACTACGGTTTATTGATTGGAATATTTTAAACGATACACTTGGTTGATGGACTGATATTTGTACACATGAATGTTCGCGTATTTTCTATGACTGAGGTTAGAAAGAAAACCAAAGTAACAAGGGAATTTGAAACAGTATATTACAGTCTACCGGAATAGTACTATACTGATCTAAGTTTAAGAATCAACTACTAATTATCTTAGTTCACATCCAATCATTGAGAGTTATATGAAGCTGCAATGTCAACAAACCACAAGTAACTAGTTGTTATTCAACACATTAGCTTCTCAATGAAGTCAGACAGCTAATGTTAACATAGAACTTGGCATTAGTGGGTAACGGTTCAAGTTGTCACACCTCATATCACCGCATCAAGCCAGAAAGCAATAAAACGAAAGATAAAGTTGTCGAGAAGGCAGCCAAAATAGGTGGAAATTCATGAAAGGATAACAAGAAGGAACGAGAAAATACTGAATTCAACACGACGTTTAAGATCTGAATATGTGGACATATCTGCAACAATGAGGTGCAGTGTGATCTACATAACCTAGTCTCCAAACGCTGGTTTCCATTGCCTGGTGAAGGTCAACCGGGAGGTCTACATTTCCCTAACCAACTCATGCTAACAGTCGAAGAATTGACTGATGTCTTGTGTTATTCTGGCCTCCATGAACGTTTTTCAGTCTGAACCTACTTCAACCAACACTGTGCGACGGGTCAGCCGGTGACTAAGCATACCTCACACTTGTCCCAGCCACCTGAGTCGACGAAGGTTAACAAACTGATCAACTGTACATACTTATCTTTGAAATAGAGCGTCTTGGTGATGAGGATTTTTAAGGTAAGGTTTATCGAAACACCTTTTAATCTGTAAGTTCTAAACACTTCATTCGCCTTTTATTTCCAAGCAGACGTTAAAATACTTCATTCGATGAAGCTAACTAATCATAGGAAATCGGAGTAGTATCGGTTAACGGCTTCGTCTTATTGTTAAACTATTAATAAGAGGCTAGTTGAACTCCCTTCCGGATAAGATGCAAGTGGCGGGAGTATAATCTATCAAAAGTCCTGCTAAAAATCTTTCCATTTTAAAATTAATTAATTAATTTACTATGGCAGTTACAGTTTTTTAAGCAGGAGGACAGGTTTCATTGTACCACAATCCTATCAATTTAGGAAATAATGGAGTCTAAAATGGTGTTATGTCACAGACTCGATTTCGGCTTCTTTAACAATGGTACGCTCATATTTTTATAAGGGTTTTATAATTTCAATGATTATCTGGGCCGGCATATGTCTGACAATGAAAAATGGTATGAGATTTGCTCAGGAGTTCTCAATTCATCAGTAACTTATATACTGTACCAACTAACTTCACCGGTCACTAACTTTCTCCAGTTAATTCAGATGCTCCTGAACAATAGTCGTACACCCTCTTCAAAAGTGTCATCACACTTAGAAATCAGCTAAACATTCGAAGTCAACTTAGCTAGTAGTGCAGATTTAGATAAAATATTTGGAAGCTACTTATTAAATAAGCAGTAGTATAGACTACAAAATAAAACTTTCCAACATCCCCCAATCACTTCTGTTTCATTTTATTGAATTCCAGCTAGTTTCAGATATGGAAATTGCTTCACCATTGGATTCGGTTGTAAAATATCATGCAGCCTATGCACCTCCAACTTACTTTTATGAATTTGCATATTTTAGTCCAAATGATCAACAAGCGACACCAGAAACAGGTAAGTATATATATACCTATGACATTCACTTTTAAAAGTCAAATATGAACAAAGAATATTCTGCAACAAATTTTCACGAAGTTCTACAGTTGTAATTTCAAATTTGTAATCAAGGGCAAATTTGTAGCGAATGCATTTTACAATGGAGAAAAAACCATATAATTGCAAATTAGATTTATTTAAGTTTGTGGATGATAGTTTGGCTTATATATATTTGAATTACACTAATAAGTTGAATGCGAACCGTAGGTATCAGTTGACTGATGATCAGGTAGAGTGAATGTTTACAGCATGGGGAAGCAAGACTGATAATAGAATTCAAGGATGCTTTATGTCGGATGACCGATTGGTGCAAAAAATGAAATGAATTTACCAGAAGGGTAGAAATGGAGTGGATATTTCATCATGAAATGGCCAAAATTGGAGGTTTTTAAGATAGTATTATGATGAAATTAATAATAATAGGGATGATAAAAGGTGCAAATATTTTAAATAGTTTTAAAACTTCATTAGAAATAGAATAGAGAGGCAAGGGAGAATCTGGTTAAAATGATGTTTTCGAAGGAAGAAAAGGGACAAAGAACTAAAAGGGAAACAAAAAGATGAGGTAATGTTGGTTAGTCAATGGGAGGCCAGGGAACGGTGAGGCTAGGATGTGTTCTTTTCGAACACAAAGTTTAGATTTTGTTGATCTTGTAGCCACAGCTGCCACTATATGGAGAATATGTAAACTAACGGCAGGTGGTTGAGTCTTCGGGAAGTGGTGAGTCACAGTAAAGGCTGTGTTAACATCCATTTGGTGTCCTGTGTCTACTAGATGTGCTAATGTGGAGCTTCTAACAAATTTGACGTCATCCTTTGGAAACCAAGCTGGTAGATGTTCCCGTATTCTGAAGCAAATGTGGCTAATAGTGTATCCTACGTAACTTGTTCTACAAGAAGTTAAATTTGTATATGCATGATGGTGAGCTCGAACTATAATAACATTTATTGAGACCTAAAGGTTGTTCTCGTGTACTTTGAATTTATTGGGAGAATAATAGAAACACTTAGTTTATGTCTATGGTTGCAACACTTAGTGGTGGAATTCAGATTTGTCAAAAGGAACTCTTGCTAATTGTTTCTAACCGTCTAATATTGTTCAACGTGAACTATGACGGACAATCTTCTAGTCTCATGAACACATTTCAAATTTGGATAATCTTATTGGCTTTGCACGTCGAAATCTACAGCCTCATATTGTTAGATCAACAGTGTATTTCCAGCACTACTCTCGTAATTTGATATGTATTTATTTATTCTGTAGAAAGAAAATGTACTTCCCTTGCGTAATGAGTTGTATGAAGACCATTGGAGCATAAAAACTAGGAGATATTATCATATTAACCATAAAAAATGAACAGAATTGTCTTGTTTCCAGTTTATTGTGAAATATGTCTTCTAAGACGAGACTATTTGAATGTGGTCTTTGTCTTCAGTAAAGATTCATCGAATAAAATGAGAGTGTTTACGACCTCAATAGACACGAAAATAAGTGTTATCTAAGTAGACTACTGACCAATAAGAGCATTTGAAAAGTTTATAGGGATAAATTCATATAACAGAATAGCAAATAAAATTTTCAGCTTAGCTGAAACTGACTAGTCAGCTTGAAAGAACTGGTACACCTCAAAATAGGTGATCAATTTGAAAAAAAATTTTCAAATGGCTTGGAGTATAAATCAACGTCAGTGATTTCTAACTACTCACTCATTTAGTTCAGTAGTACATTTATTTGAGTCATGAAACACCAATTAATAGTCACGGCTGAGTGATTTCTTACATCAACAATATTGATACTATGCTTGCGTAGTTGAAAGCTGATCAACTGAGAGATAAATCAACATGAACGTTGTAGTTGGTAAGTAATTTGCTACTTGAATATCGACTTATTAGTTAGATAATATTTTCATCTTTCATTCAGTTGACTTTTTGATTGGTCACTCTTATTAAAATGAATTTATCGTGCTCATATCCTTCGTTCTTATCAATCAACCATACTTATTGAGGTCCATTCATCTACAGTGAAAATATCTATCGTCAAAAGAATAGAGGTTTTCTCAAGGTTAAATATATTTCTTGCTCGCAAGGCCAGCAAACACTAAAGCGACCTCAAGCATAGTTTTCTGTCACTTGACAATAAATTCTGATATCAAGTATACAAAATAACCAGAATACATTCACTTACTGCTTTATAATACACAGTACTAACTATATAGTTTAAGTGAAGAGCAGCTAATAATATCAGTTGGTAACAATCTTATATCTTCTAGGCAAGAAACACAATAATACCCCAGCATTTTCAAATGTTGCTGCCACTAATGCTGCTTTTCTATTGCAGGAATCTATCATGGAATTGAATTACCTTTCCTATTCGGATTCCCTTTTATGAATAAATCTACCTGGACATTATTATTCGGTGAAGGTAATCCTTTGCCTCGATGTGTATCAAATACCTATGTTTATCCGCATGATACAAATATTAGCGAATTTTTATTAGATTTATGGACAAATTTTGTAAAATATGGGTGAGTAAAACATTTACTATAGATTTGAATCGTTTGATACTACTTTCCAGAATAGGACTAATGATTTATTTATGTGTATGATAGGTGAATTCAAGCGGACTATAGATAGATTGTTATTGTTCTAGTTTAATTTAGGTAGATTACGGTATTTAACAATGACTATCATAATGGTAACCGTGTTTCAGTATATCTTAAATACAAGCAGTGAAAAATTAATTAAAGACAATTCAGCGAAGAAAATTTTCTTTCGAAGAATCATTTTTAAAAGCTGCTTATTATAACCATAGTTACAACAAAACATATATTTATCAATAGCCAATGAGTCAGTGTAGAATCATCAAAAACGGTCAATAAAGTCACAAGGTGATAATGGTTAGAAGGTCAACTGAAGGTCATCAAAAATTGCTCATAGGAAATGAATAAACTGTCTTAGGAAGATAACGACCAAGACAAAATTAGAGATTGGATATATCTTTTTTGAACACAATGATCAGGCTTATACCGCTGGATTGCATTTTTGCTGGATTCAGAAAAGTTTTCGACATCACATATAAACAGTAACTGAAAATGAGAGTGTAAAACTACATAGGATTGGTTTCAAATATTGGGTTGAAGTTTTGTACTCAGTTGCACAATCAAGGTCTGAGTAAATAAATAGTTGTAGTACGGTGAGTTTCACTCAGCCTTATGTACGAAGCTTTAATAAATTGCAATGCATTTCATGTCAATAATCAGATAGTCTTAGACCGGTGTTTAGCCAAGTTCCAGGACCCCTTAGCAGATGGTTCGCTCTAGTAGTGAAATATGTGTTATTGTTTAATAGTCTGTTGGTTATAACACGCTGGTTGGAGCTGAAAATATTGACTGTTGAAAGGATAAGCGACACTTCAAACGCTAACGCACTTTTCCTGAGTCTGATTGATTTTTAGTTTGATCACAAGCGGAAACCAAAGATAAATACTGTCAAAGTGTTAACCAATAAGGTAAAGCAAGTATCCAACTTTTTTCTCATGGAAAATATTTACTCAAATGATGGAGATTCATGGTTATGAAAAGTTGCCTTGTAAGCGATCATACTGCTTAGATGAATATTGAACCACAAACTAGAACGGGATAAGTCAGTCATATACGGTTGCATGTAACATCACTAAGTAAGATTTTAAACCAACTTCGTGACTAAAATAATTTAGAAAGTAACTGTGATCTAATAAGTCAACTAAAAGCACCCAAAAAGGGATGATAATGACCAATCAAATTAACAATTATCAAGTTCACTAAGACCTATGGTCTTTCATTTCAGAGTTACCAAGCTTTAAAATGCGATCAGCTTTAAGAAAACTGGCTTTGTGTGTCACTTTCCACTTATGATTTTATTCTTTTTCATAGCAAATTGTAGACAGTAAAATTACAAAATAGAAACTAGCATGTTGCGCTTAGACTTCACTCCATAATCCATATACAGGATTCTAATGGGATTCCATTGCATTATCCTCCGAAATTGCATCCTACAATAGTGAATTGAAAGGTTTATATTTTTTAAACTGATACTTCGCTTCATTCTATGCCAGTCTATGAAACAAATATAGACAGTTAAACGTATCAAAATACTGCTTTGCACAGAAGTGAATCAGTGCCAGTTACCACATTGATCCCCAGTCTTTTAAAAATGATGACCTGCATGTTAATAAACTCTGTCATAATACTGAAGGTACTAATAGGTAGGAATGACATATTATCGTTCATATCATACGGACAACCGTGGATATGAATTTGACTGGGAAAATGTAGCAATCCTGGCAATTTCGAATGCCAGAGAATGTTTAGAAGCTTCGTATTCAGATCAGTCAGCAATCAACAGAAATACTGATAGTGACCCAATTTATCAACCACTAATGAAAAACTAGAAGGTCAAAGATCACATCAACAGGACAATCAATCACAATAAATAAAATAAAGAGACTGACAAGACTTTGGCAGAAACACAAGACCATCAGTAGAAGCTACTAAGCCACTTATGGAGAAAACCCTATAGCTCACTTCCTTGTAAAGTTTGTGCTCATCATGTTGTCTAGAATGGAAAAGGAAGCTTCATGATTAAATGATCCAGCTCAGAGAACATAACATTAAAATTATCCTTCTGAGCTACAAATATTCTCCTTCATTTCAAAAATAATACATCCCTCTAATCGAACTGAACTACGACGAAATGCATGCATTGAATTCCAACTGTACATATGAACGAAGCATATTTGATCGACTGGCATTTACCTGCACGAAGTGATAAGTTGACGACTACTTACAAATTAGTGCTAATAAAATACAGCATAGCCTGTTAGCCAATTAAAGTTTATTCAACTTATAAATATTACTTATATACGTGGTAAGTAGCCTAAGTGCACATGGCTAAAATTCATTTTTAGGTATCTGATGGAGTAGATAAGAAGTAATGAAAAACAACTTACCTATTTGTTCGAACTTTAAAAACAACCTCAAGATTCTGATTATCCCATCCGTTTTTTAGTGTAAAGATAAGGCTAATTGTCTGCATATGATGCATACTCCGTCGGTCACCTTAAAATGGATTTTAGCCATGTGTACCTAGGCTACTTATCGCTTATGATTAAGCGTTGCTTTGATCCTTGAAAACTGAATACAAAAATTCACTTTAACTTTATATACTGTGGAGACATTTCTCTTAGAAACATATTTCTTTTTCTATTGACAATAAAATCAGGAATCCAACACCCAAAGGTGTCAAAAATATTGAATGGGCAAGATTTAAACAACCTGAAGAAGCTTATCTTCATATCCAGCTGAACAGTTCAATTAAATATCATTATCGATCTTCGGATATGGCATTTTGGCAGTATCGTTTTGAGGAATTAGCAGAACCTGTCCCAGGTAAGTTGTTTAAACTGGTCATATATATTATTATTATTATTATTAGTCCCTTGGGTTCCTAGTGGAACATAGGGCTTCAGTAGCATGTCTACATTCCACTCTGTTCTCTGAGATCTTTTGAACCTGGTTCCACGACAGCCCACAAGCTCTCATTTCCTCCTCGCACGACCTCCTCCATGTCACCCTCAGCTGGGACGTCCAACTCGTCGCTTCCCATGGGGATTCCACTCGAGGGCCTGACGCGTGATGTCCTCCGTCGGCCTTCTCAGTGCATGCCCAATCCATCTCCACTTCTTCCTGCATATTTGTTGCATGATAGGTTCTTGGTTGGTTCGTTTCCAGAGCTCCTTGTTGCTTATTCTTTCTGGCCATCTGATCTCCAGTAGCGAGCCAGCGTAAGCAGTTGTTGATGAATGTCTGTAGTTTATTGGAAATGCCTTTCGTGACGCGCCAAGTCTCTGAGCCATACAGGAGCACTGACTTGACGTTGGTGTTGAAAATCCGTATCTTGTTCCGCATGCTGAGTGCAGAAGATCTCCACACTGGTTTCAGGCTAATGAACGCCTGTCTTGCTTTTCCAATTCTGACTTTGACGTCCTCGTCCGTCCCGCCTGTAGTTGAAACAGTGCTTCCTAGATAAGTGAAGGAGGTTACTTCCTTCAAGCTTCTCCCGTTGACGGTGATTGGAGTTTGTTGTTGTTGTTGATGGTGGTGGTGCGGTATCTTCATCACTTCTGTCTTCTCTATATTCACCTGAAGTCCCGTCTTAGCTGCCTCTTCTATCAACTTGTTAGTTTTTGCCTGCAGATCTTCAAGTTTATGTGACATTAGGCACAAGTCATCACTGGCGAAATCCAAGTCTTCTAGGTTCTTTTCCGTCGTCCAGCGTATCCCCCTCTTCTCGCTGCCTATTGTTTGCTGCATGATCCAGTCCACCACAGTCAGGAATATCATGGGGGATAGTAGGCAACCTTGTTTCACTCCTGTCTTCACTTCAAAAGCATCACTGAGCTTCCCATTGTGAATTACTTGGCATGTGGCATCTTCATATAGTTGTTGAATGAGGCTGATAAAGGTTTGCGGTACTCCGTAGTATTGAAGCAGTTTCCAAATTACTTCTCGGTCGACGCTGTCAAAGGCCTTCTCAAAGTCGATGAAGTTGAGGCAGAGAGCTGATTGCCATTCTATGCTCTGTTCTATGATGATGTGAGGCGTTGCGTTGCAATTTGGTCTGCACATGATTTGTACCTCCTGAAGCCTGCCTGTTCCGGTCGCAGTTTTGAATCCAGTGCATCTTTAAGCCTCTCCAGGATGATGCGGCTTAATATTTTGCTTGTTGGGTGGACAGGAGAGTGATTCCGCGCCAGTTCTTGCAAGCACTGAGGTCTCCCTTCTTCGGCAGTTTGACAAGGTAACCCTTCTTCCAATCGATCAGCAGGTACCTTCCTTCCTTCCACACCTTCTGCAATAGTGGTGTGAGCTTGTCCGCTGTTGTCTCTGCATCTGTTCTCAGTGCTTCTGGCGGTATTCCATCTGGTCCTGCTGCTTTCCCGCATTTCAGTAGCTTTATGGCATTCAGGACTTCCACTTTTCTTGGAGGATTTATGTTCACTTGTAATTCAGCGGCTGCAGGTGGTATTTCTGGACGAAGTGCAGATGGTGGTCGATTCAAGAGCTTCTTGAAGTGGTCGGCCCATCGTTTCCTTTGTTTCTCTTCTTTCGTAATTAAATTTCCTTCTTCATCTTTTATTGGTTTCATCTGTGTTGATCTCTTCCCTGATAGCAACCTGGTTATTTGATACAATGTCGTCAGGTCTCTCTTACCTGCAGCCTGTTCTGCTTCACTTGCCAGTGTTTCGTAGAAGTGTCTTTTGTCTTTGCGCGCACTCTTCTTCACTTCTTTGTCCAGTGTTTTATACATTGTGCTCAGTTCCTCTTGTCGTTGAGCATCCTTGCACTGGTTTATCTTCTGTTTCACCATCCTCCTCTCCTCTATCAGCTTCCAGGTATCTGTCGAGATCCATTCCTTGTCTTCTTTCTTCTTCCTTCCTAATACTGTTGTGCAGGTTTCTTCCCACATAGCTTTCAAAGACTTCCAGTGTTCTTCCACACAGGTTTCTCCAGGGATGTTCCCCGATATCTCCCATTTTGTCTTGATGGCTGCCTTGAAGATCTCCTTTGTAGCTTCGCCCTTCAGTTTCCGAGTGTTGTACTTGAACTTTGGTCTATCACCAGCTTCCTTGAAGGCTTTTAACTTGATTTCGAAGGTTCCTTGCACTAGATAGTGAGTGGTCTGAGCCTACATCTGGTCCTCTTCTTGACCTTGTGTTAAGTAGACTGCGTCTCCATTTTCTTGAGATTGAGATAAAGTCGATTTGATTTTTAGTGTGTCCATCTGGTGAAATCCATGTCGCTTTGTGGATATCCTTGTGCCTGAACACACTGCCTCCAATCACCAAATCGTTGAATGCGCAGAATTCTGCAAACAATTCTCCATTCTCATTCATTTCACCGAATGCTTCTCGACCCATGGTTAGTTCTCTTCCCGTGTTGTCCCCTCCCAGTTTGGCATTCATGTCGCCCATCAGAATTTTGATATCGCCAACTGACGTCTTGTCCAGTGTTGATTGAAGTTGTCTGCAGAATTCCTCCTTTTTCTCTTGCTCTGCATTATTTGTAGGTGCATAGCGTAGCTCTGTATGATTGTGACCTTTCTTCCTTTTGAGTTGAATCTTGCTGTCATGATCCTGGAGGAGATTGGTTCCCGCTGCATGAGAGCCTTCGATGCTCTTGAGGACATCATGATAGCCACTCCCTCAGTGTGCTCGTGGTTGGCGTCTGAATGACAATACCGGAGTAGATTATTTACTCTCCAGTCGACAGTTTGGAGAGTCCACTCCCATTCCATCTGCTTTCGCAAATCCCAAGCACTTCGATGTGATACCTTCTCATCTCATTTGCAATCTGGGCTGCCTTACTGGGTTCAAACATCGTACGGACATTCCATGTCCCCACGTTTACTTTCGCTTTCATCGAGAGAAGACACATCGGCCAATTGGCTTCCCGAAGGCTTTCACCAACTGGCGTCATTTCGCCTCTCCGATTCCAGCGGGGAATAAGTTTGTTTTCATTTTTTATATTTTGTTTGTGCTTTGAAGTTTCTTTAGCGGTTAGATTTGTTTTACGGGGTAGGGTTGCTAGCCCTATGCCCAACCTTCCCTCTTTACCCGGGCTTAGGACCGGCTAGTAACTAGTAAACTAGTTAACCAGGCGAGGTTGGTCATATATATATATATATATATATATATATATATATATATAATTCCAGGGGATCTCTAGCTCGGTTTAGATAGTTGACTTTTAATAATTGGTCCATGAGTTCGAATCCCCTCCATTTACCGAAGTTTGATCAGCCAGGTAGCATCATTGCTTACTGAACGACTATGCACATGGTTGGTGGGTTCATTTTTCAATATCTGCCAAGCAGAATTAGGTTTTTCATATAACAACGGCTCTACTGATCTTCATGAATAGGTTGATCATATCCAGAAAGATGTACACGTATGATGTTTAATGCAGTTTGAAGTAGGTTGTCTTAGGAAGCCATCTTCCGAAAGTGTCATTTAATTCCTAACCCATAAGACAACTGAAAATATTACTTTTAAAGTGCTTATGATGGGCGAAGACTAGAAAAAAATTCCTACTCGATTCATCCCATGGCTCCTCGATTTGGAGCTAGTTATCCTTTTATTTGTTTTTATTGTATTTAAATGCTTCCAATATAAGAAACAGATGATGCAACATTTCGATTATATTTTGTTCAATATGCCTAAACAATACAATCTAAACGATATAACCTATTTTGGATATTTAATAGAATAAGGAGATGTTGAGTTGTAAGAAGGAAAGGTGTACGCTTCGCTTGATACGATTATTAGTAATACCGCATCACCGTGTACCCTATAAAGTAAACTAATCTAATATGGAATTAAATTTAACCACATAGCCCAAGTTCTTGAATGCATTAAGTTCCAAGAATAGGTCTTTTTGCAAACGACTACATTAGTCTTTTAAAATCTAGGTTGTCATCGAACGATGTACTAACGGGAACTGTATCGGAAAAACATGCTTAAAAAATATAAATTTTCTATTTGATTATCCAAGATAGGCATGGTTTGGCAAACGTGAATTGTTACTGTGTGATGAATGACTGAAGGTGAGATGCAAATCGGGGTTGCCGCAGGAAGTCACTGGTTCGAATATAAGATTTTCATTTCACCTCTAACCATCTGACAGTATCAAATATAACTTTGAAAAGCTAGTAGTAGTAGTAGTAGTAGTAGTAGAAAGTAAAATGTCAGTTAGAAAAAAATTTATTTTGTTTTATATTGATTGGGAAACAGAAATAAAAAAACAGAAAAAAAAACAAAATATTTTGAGTATCCGTTAATAATACTTTATTACAATTTTACAAATGTATGCGACTCATTTCTAAATAGGTTAACCGAAAAAAATTCTTGAACAGTAATTGGGAAATAGGAATCAAAACAGACAAACGTAGATAAATCTTTTATTCAGACTCTGATCAGCTGCTAACAGCATAAAACAGACAGAATCAACATAGAACCTCGCACACAGATGCATTGAGTCAAGTTGCCACATTCTACAGTAATATACAAAGAACAGATGCATATAAAACGAGTGATATCACAAAACACAAAGTAGTCCAAGAGAATAAACAATCTCAAGATAAATGTTAGAGTGAATATTCAAGCTTTGGCAGATGTGAGGGAGTCCTCAAACACTGATTCGTATCGTCTCAGGGGATTCAAACAGATAGTCTAGATATCCTAACACGTCTCAAACCAACAGTCAACGACTACATCCAGTGGTGCTACACCTTGATCTGCCCACCCTGAAATCTCTTCCAACCTAGTTACCTTTCGCCCAGCATGGTACGTCAAAGTAGGCGATGGGTCAACATGCGTAGTATGCGTCCAAGCCATTCCAGTCGACTAAGGTTCACAACTTCCTCAGTCGACTTGTTTGTCTTGCCTAGTACCCTTCTTCTGATCTCAACATTCTTCACATGTTGATCTCATCATACGTGAGCAATGTTAAGAAGATACCAATGATGGAAGACCTGTAAGCAATTCATATCTTCTACTTCTAACAGCCGTCTCACAACTGTATAACAGTACGAAACGAACTGCAACGCAGTATACTCGTCTTATTGGTAGATAGCTGCATATCATGCTACTCAGCGCTACAGATGATGGAGGTTGACAAATGACAAACAAGCCCTCTGTATCTGACCTGAGATTGTGTCACCAACCAACTTGTTCCGGCTGAGGCGACTTCCAAGGTGAGTGAGGTAGTCGATACATTCCATCGTTCACTTCCTATCATTTAACTGGGAGTGATTGCAGACCATTCCTGGAGCATTATCTTATATCTGACCGGTGACAGCAAAAAGCATGCCACATATACTCATATTTCTGTGTTTGAGGACCTGTAGAAGGGCGAAGTTATAATCGATGCACTCACATCTAGGTTTGAAACCTGCCTGGTTCTCTCGAGTTTTCTAATCAGCAGCCTCACTTAGGCATTGGAAAACTGCTGATCCTGTGATATAGTATCCGATGTCAGTTAAACCGATTCTCTTATGGTTGTCACAGGAGATTTTCTGCCTTCTCACGAACTGGAATGGTCAGTGAAGTATGCCAGTCTGATGACAGTACCTCTGATTCCCATACACTACCTAGTACCTCTGTCACTTTAATTAGCAATTTTCTTCATCCATCCTTCAAAAACTCAGGTAAAAAACTATCAGATCCTTCTGCTTTGCATCGTTTCAGGTTCAATAAAGCTTCCTCAGCCTCAGGTAGAGTTGGAGGACTGGCACTCACATCCCATACACGTCCAGGCTAGATGTTGAGGAAATAAGGGTTTATAGTTGACCACGTGAACTTTGTTTCAAAAGGTTCTTGGCAGCATTCTGTCTTTCTTGAGGGGTTGTCAACGTCCTATCATTTACCTTCATGGTCTGACTAACCATTGTTTTCTTCTCGTCTAATGCTGATACTTTGCCCTTTTCTCTCGCTTTCCCCACCCAACACTGCTCACGGTCGATGAGAAGACTTTGGACGACTTACGTTCAAGTTGGTTTCGCTATTCAGCTAGAATGACTTTGCAGAACTCATTGACGTTTCTAACTTTAAGGTGCAGGTTACTTACTATCTTTACCGCTGTTTCTGTGTCAATGAAGTGATTTTTACAGTTACGAGAAGTAGTATTCATTAAGTTATTCTGGTTTCGCTTACTAAATATGAATGTTACTACCTGTGGATTGGATCATCAGTTTCAGACCAAATTCATTAAAACATAGCAGAGTATTCTGATATTTTATTTGTTTTAGACCATAATTAGCTGATGAGAAACTTCAAAGTAAAATGGATGTGTGTGTTATTTTGCTCTAATAGTCCCTTTTGTTCTATTTAAACTTGTCGGGGAAAAAATAATATAAGACAGCCTTACTCGACAAATTAATCTGTAAATATGCAAAGTTGACGACTGAAAACCAAGGTCGTGGCACAATATGAACCAATACATCTCTGGTTATCATCTAAGCAGCTACTATACATGAGTATTAACCAGGCTACTTCTTCACCCCATTCATCAAGAGTTTTGTTGAACTATATCTCGTTCCTATTGAGATCAAACTATTGCGTAGAATGTAAGTTGCTTGTGTGACTGATTAGTTATATATTGAGCTTCTGTTATCACTGTTGTGTATGAGCAGTAATACTGTTTAATCACTGGTATTCTTGTTTTCAAAGAGAGTAATGCCATGGAACTATTTTTGATGTTAATCCATATCTTTCGATTTCTTCTTATCGTACAATAAAATTAGCATCTCCACCAATTTACCACTTTCCCTTGATTGATGTACGATTGGCGTCTGTTATACTAGGTTGCCTGCTGGGTATCGCGTTGATTAGTTTGATCATAATAATTGTTTTACTAATGAAACGACCAGAACCAAAACAATTTAAATCAAGTATACGTCATACAACACCAGGCAGTGCATTTCATGCATCATTTAAAGATTCATTTGCTAATCGTTCTATTCATGCCATGACAACATTGATACAAACCTCTACAGCTCTAGTACAACAACCATCAGAACAATTCAATTACTTCGAATCTAAACCCATGAGAATACCTTCAACATTATCAGCCTCATCTTGTACAAAAATTTCTCATATATCATGTCCAAAAAATAAGCTGACTAATATAACAACCACAGTTAATAAACATCCTCCACCTCCACCGATACCACAGTATGATCGGAGAACCTCTTCTTCTGGATCTTTATCTTTAATATCATCATCATCCTCAACAACAACGACATCATCATCACGTCGCAGACAGATGAAGCAGAAGTATGATACTAACAAGATGACAAAAGGTATACAAGAACACGTCACGATGAACATACTGAACCCACAACCATCAGATCCATTGTTACAAACCAATGACAATAACAAAAGTAGTCATAATATTGTCATCCCAGTTACCGATAAATATAACAATAGTTATAATCCGTACATTACAGATGTTTAATAGTGAACTGTATACATAAACATCACAATCTGACGTAACTATGCATTTCTGGATCACCATTCAATTAAGTTGAGGTACGAACCAAGCATATTTGTATAGGAAAAGAGTATGGATGAAAGTCGAATAAAATTTCTCACCCAGTTATTGTTTTCCTACTTTTAAATAATGTGGACAGCTTACCTTTTAACTTAATGTATATTTTCAAATCTAGAATATATTGTTGTTTTTCGATAAACATACCATGCTCTATGGGTTGTTTATTGTTGAAGGCAGTAAATTAGACCTTTGTGAGTCATATATCTTGTTCTAACAGAGATTTTTTTCCTCCTGATAATGTGACTGGGTTGTATTCAATCATTAATGAATCCCACTTAGGCAGTGACATCTACAAAGTAGATGAGCAAACATAAAATATACGGCAGTTTGAATCAACTTAATATCTGCTTTATAATGGTTAGAGTTGGAGACCCAGCTGATTAGAGAACTATGGTGTTGTCTTTGTCACTTGAATAAAATCCCTTTAATGAGTAATTATCAATCGAACAGCATATCATGCCTCATTATTCAAAAGACTAGGAATTAATAACTTGCATTAGTTAATGATACATCACATCACATACCAGTGGAGGAAAAATAGCTACTCATGTGAAGTAATGTTTGCAAATCTGTAAAATAAATGTATTGAGCAAGAATCGTTGACCGTTTTATCAACAGTGTGTTCTGTCATTTATATACTGCTAGATAATCAAATAGATAGAATTGAGGAATCCTATTGGGCGGACTCCCAAGGTAGGTATTTATTTATTACTTTAGTCATAAAAATTAATCCAAGTTTAAAATACATTAGTACCTCACTACAATTTTTAAAAATAACTTGAAGTAAAACCCAATAGAGGTCGTTTGACTTGGTTCAACTTTATACCAGACAGCATTTCATGAAACCACTTCGAGAAGAAAGCTATATTCGTACAAACATACATGATCAAAATAGGACCAGGTATTTCTGTGCAGGGGTCCAAGTTACCACACATCACTACATCAAGCGAGAATGCACTAAAATGAAGGACAAAGTTATCGATAAGAAGGCAGCCAAAAGTGCTAGAAAGTCGTAAAAAGATAACAAGGGAAAAAAAGAAAATACTAAATTCAGTATGACGATTAAGATGATGTATGGATACACCTGCAACATTAGGTTCAATTCTGATTCACATTACCTATAGTCTTCAAATACTAGTTGCTGTTGATACATTAACCTCAACCGGGAAGTCTACATTCCCCTATACGGCAGTCAGATATTCCATGGACTGATGCGGTACTTTTTCTGACTGACTGATGAAATCAACATAGAACCTCGCACACAGATGCATTGAGTCAAGTTGCCACATTCTACAGTAATATACAAAGAACAGATGCATATAAAACGAGTGATATCACAAAACACAAAGTAGTCCAAGAGAATAAACAATCTCAAGATAAATGTTAGAGTGAATATTCAAGCTTTGGCAGATGTGAGGGTGTGAATACATCAGCGCCCTTGTGATCGATTTTCAGCTATGCCATCAAGAGTCCTCAAACACTGATTCGTATCGTCTCAGGGGATTCAAACAGATAGTCTAGATATCCTAACACGTCTCAGACTAGCAGTCAAGGACTACATCGACTGATGTCACATCTTGGTCTGGTCACCCTGAGCTCTCTTTCAAAATAGTCCAACATTACCCGAAATGGCACGTCGAAGAGGGTGGTGGGGAGGCACATGCAGTACGTCTTCAAGCCTTCTCAGTTGGCCCAAAAACTGACTTTTCTCTTTTGCCTGAAACGTTATCCCTGACCTCTACGTTACTCACGTTGTGACACCGTAACACACGACCTATGATACGAAGACAACGCCCGACCGATATCTGCTACCTTGATGCTTGCATGTCGCAATGAACCAACAAGCTATGCTGGTGGAACGCTTGTTCCCTCGACGTCCTACCATACCAGGAAGTTCTGTTGGATAGTGGTTAGACGAAAAGCAGTTACCGTTGTAGTGTAAATTACTACACTATGATGGGAGTCTGAGGGTGAAGTCGTACTGCTGCTAGCTGGATAGTGTACGACAGCGGTAAGGTGTTTCCCTTGGATGACCAGCAGTGTCATGCTGATGCAGCCTTCTCAATGGAAGAGGGAGTTAGGTAGGCCCCAAAAATAACACACTCCACCATGCCCCACGGTCTGCCGGGCCGGTGGTGTTGGTTCATTTGTCGTTTCCTTTCGACCAGCCAGCTCCGAAATAACAAAAGTTTAAAACAATAATATACAAAAGGCTTCGTGTGACAGACCTCAAGCAGATGTCCGATGGGCTCTGAGAACACACAAATCTCTTTCAGGCACCTTAAGAAGAAACAGCCTTCCACGGGGTGGCCAGCCGGGAACTGTCAACCGCCCTCACAACCCGATCAGCATTCAAGTTTCCTCCCCCATCATTACCTTCTAATCTTCCTTCACGTCTCTCGACTAACTATACTACATCATCTTCAATTTCTTCTAGCTCTGCAGCCTTCGACAGCGATCTGAGTCCACAGAACAGCATCACTGGTCTCCTTAAACTACACTCCAAATTACATATTGGGGCCCTCAATGTCCGCACCCTCCGTCAAACTGCTCAACAGGCTTCGTTAGCAAAGACTCTAGCAACTCTGGCCATGGATGCGTGCTGTTTTTGCAAGACACACATATAGGACCCAAGTGTGGTTATTTACCTAACCTCTCCTGGTCAATCTGGTGAGTCCGCAAAGTTCACCCTCCGAGTTTCTGCAGATTTGATGGCTAGCTCTCGTGGTCTTGCAGGTGTAGGCATAGTATTAAGCACCAGGTCAGAAAACTCACTACTAGACTGGATCGCAGTTGATATTTGCCTCTGCGCTATCCAGCTGAACGACACAGGGAAAACTAAAAGGAATAGTGAAACTCGACGTTGTCTCTTTGGAGAGGACCGGTGGAAGACTGCCGCTCTTTCTGGAGTACGTGTTTGGACGGTGGCCACGCGTTGGTTCAAGCACGTGTATCCCCGCGTTTCAATGGACGTAGGAAAAACTTGTCAACAAAACCATTACTAGTGCAGCTCGACAACGAAAGCACCAAAGCCGCGTTCAGTGAGAAATTGGCTAGGCAGTTATTGGATCCGAACACTATCACTCAGCCGGAAGAAGCTTGGTGACATCTCCAGTCTGCTGTAAAAGCAGCGCTGAAGACCGTAGCCGACTCCGAAAGGATTGCTAAAAAGAGCTAGTGGATATCAGCAGCTTCTTCCAAAACAGTGGGTGCACGTGAACGCAACCCTGCAGACTCTGAGTACAACGAAGAGCCAGCACAATTTAAACGTATACTGAGAAAAAGTCTACGCAACGATCGCGAACAGTGAAGGCTAAAGAGATAGGAAAGGCAGTGGCGATTGGTAACAGTAGGCAGTTATTTAGACTTATTAATTAAACTGGGGGGGGGGGAGGGTCAACAACGGTTGGTGAGACTATAGCGGGGAAGGACGGGTCTGAGATTCACTCGTAGAGACGACTGGAACGATGGGCAGAACACTTCGAGGAACAGTTTGACTGGTCTCCAGCCACCATTGCATTGCCCGCTATTGAGTCGGATCCTGAGTGAAACACTGAGACAGGCCCCCCAACACTTGCAGAAGTCGAGAAAGCTGCAAGTAAATTGAAATGAGGAATGTCTGCAGGACCAGGTGGAATAACTCCCGAGGTATACAAGGACGGCAGGAGAGTGCTCTTAGTCAATAAACGGAAGTGTTAACTAGTACACGGGAATCAAATACGATCCCAGCTAACTTGTCTCAATCACTGATTATCCCAGTCTTCAAGAAGGGTGAGAGGTCCTCTTGTAATAACCACAGATTAATCAGCCTGACCAACATAGTGTCTAAGATTTTAGGTTCGGTAATCACTAGACGCCTGAGTGGAGCTCGGGAACAGCAAGACCGAGAAAACCAGGCAGGCCTCAGACCTGGCCGTGAATGTACCGACCAAATATTCACACTGCGCCAGGTTCTGGAACACAGACACGCTTACCGACACCCGACAATAGCTGTATTTCCCAACCTGAAGGAGGCATTCGACTCCGTCGATCCAGAAGTCTTACGGAAATGTCTCTCATTGAAAGGCGCACCGAGTAAGTACATCACCTTATTGAAGGCTCCACTCGAACACTTGTGGGCGTGTTACAGCCTGTGTTGAGAGGTCCGGGGAGCTCTTCTCATTGAGTGGTGTCTATCAAGGCTGCTCACTCTCTCCACTCCTATTCAATTCTATCATAGATATTCTTATGGAGGTCTCCTCATCATCTGACTACACAGAGGTTCTCCTAATCGCAGGAGAATTTTCGTCAGACCTAGGATATGCAGATGACATAGTCCTGTTAGGTGAAGACGCTGACAAGATTCAGTCTTCTGAACACTTTCAGTGACAATTTGTGAATGTTTGGGATGCATTTCTCACCACCCAAATGAAAACTGTTGCTCCAGGATTGGTCTTCAACGGTGCCCCACCGTGGCTAACAATAGAGAGTGTAGTGGTTGAGTGTGTTGACCACTTCACTTACCTGGGAAGTAGGATCAGCCCTGCTCTAGTGGCTCAGTGGCCGATGAAATCTCTTCACGAATACAAAAGGCTCGCCTGGCTTTTGACAACTTGAGCCACCTGTGGTGCCGCCGTGATATCCGATTTCCTACTAAGGGTTACGTGTACTGCACACGCACAACAGTCCCCTCGTTTCTATTGTATGGCTGTGAAACATGGCCATTGAAGGTGGAAGACGTGAGAAAGCTTTAGGTGTTTGACCACCATTACCTTCATAGTATAGGTCGTATTCCGTGGTGTCACAACATGAGTAATGCAGAAGTCAGGTATATAGTTTTAGGGAGTAGAGGTTAATCAGTTGAGGTTATGAACCTTCATCGACTGAGATGGTTGGGGTATGTGTTACGTATGCCTAGTCGCCATCTATCTCGTAGCACAATGTTGGTCAAAGTAGGTTCAGACTGGAAAAACACCCGAGTTGGTCAGACTAAAACATGGCATCAATGTATGAAGTCTTGGACTGTTAGTCTGAGCCCTGCGGGGCGATGCAGATTAGCCGGTTGGGGTTTGCGGGACAAGAGAAACCAGTGGTTGGAGACTGTAGGTGATATGGCTCAGAACCGAAGTCAGTGGCGCAGATGTATACACAAATTGTCCTCATCTTAACGCTATACGGAATCTCACCATTTTCTTTCTTCCTTTCTCTCTTTCAGTACTTTATATTGCTTTTGACTGGATTTTTTTCTCATCACTCACTTCACTGCGTTTTTACTTGATGTACTGATATGAGTTGTGGAAACTCGGACCGTTAAGCAGTAATACCCGGTCCTTTGTTGATGTGGATAGATGGATGGACGAAGGCAACGGTGGTCAGGCACCTGAAGCTGTTTCATGTCCTCCACCTTTCATGGCTGCGTTTCACAGAATAAAATAGAACAGAGCTACCTGGAGTGTAGTACACTACTCTTAATAAACAATCGGGCATCACGGTGGAGCCATAAATGGAGTATGTTGACGGAAGCCAATCAAGCCTTCTGTAACCGCCCACAAATTTTATCGTTCACTGACCCGCCAGGGCTGATCCAACTTCCCTGGTAATTAGAATAGTCAGTGCATCCAACCATTTCATTCCCTATCCCTTTTCTGTCTAACTTAACCTATACATTTGTACATTGAAATCATGTGCAATAACTACCACGTCTGAAAGTTTAGCTTTCAGTAAAAGGCTAGACTTTTTTCGATAGAACTTATCTTCATTCAAACTGCAGTCAGTGGGTGCGTACGCGGAGATCACAGAGAGACAAAAACAAGTTTCACTACTCCTTTTATTCCTATCTGTGCCGTTCAGTCAAACAGCTCACAGATGACTGTCAACTTCGATACAGTCGAGCAGTGTACTTTCTTCCTAGTCGATTAATGCCATAACTACCCCTATAAGAACGCGACACTAGTCATCGAGTCTCCAAAAACTCGATGGGTGAGTTTCGCGGACTCATTATAATTACCAGCTGAAGATAAGTAAATAACCACACTTAGGTCCCATAAGCGTGTCTCAAACACAGCACATGTCCATTGCACGAGTTTTGGTTAGCGAAAATTGTTGGTCGATTTGAAAGAGGGTGGAGAGATTTAGTGCTCCGATATGTAGTTTTGTGTGCGGTTTCAAGAGACTAGGGATGCTACTGCATGAACTCAGACTACCGTCAAGAGCTGAAGGGCTGCAACAAATTGAAGGTGGTGTAAGAATGTTGGTTGAGAGGCTTGAAGGAAGATTAGGTGGGGATTAGAAAAGCTTATAACAATTTGAAGGAACTTGAGTGCTGAGAGAGTTGTGAGGACGGCTGACCCTTCCCGGTGGCTCAAACTATGGAAGGCCGGTTCTTCTTGAGGTATCTGAAAAGAAGGGTTAGTATGACCTCAAAGCCCAAATGACGTCTGGTTGGTAAGGTGCATCTAAAACCTTAAATGGATTGATGTACCCTAAACGATTTTAACACATCTGCTAGTGCCACTATCAGACCAAAGAACAACTTAAAACCCAACTTCACCTCCAACATCAAGCAACCTCCCATAATGTCGAATCAACTACTTTTGTATCCATAGCATAGTTCTTGGTCAGTAGAATCTTGAAGGCTAAAACTCAACAAAAATACACAATTAATGGACCAAGCCATTTACTTGAGGGTTGATGATAATACCTGGCAAAAATTCGGTACACCGGATGTTATTCGAATTCATTTATGTAAAGCGTGGACGAATATACAGTATGAGTTTTCATAGTATTATATCACTAGTACGGAAAAATTATTTAGCATTCGTTGGGTGACCGATCTTTACCAACACTTAAAGAAGCAGGTTTTATTCTATATTCCCCTTTGCTAAACTATTCCCATTCAGCTTATTTTCCTCATGAACTGTAGCTTGTTGTTTAGATACACAAGCTTAAATCACTTTCAATCTATCAAGATTCAGGTACCTAAGTGTTACGACTAGTCCTTATACAGCAGATATGGCTTATAGTCTAGTACATGAATGTGTGCATTGTAGCACGAATATCATTCATTCAGAATTAAATGAGTTGCTCAGGAATAACTGCACAAAATAAAGATTAACATCGGCAGTGCTCCGTCATATTCATTCATATCCATGTACGGAATTTCTTACACCAAGTTAGAAAGAAGATAACTCTTACTTGCGCAAACATAACACGCATAATCTTCATTAATTAACGTTCAAAATTACATCTAAACTATTGAACATTAAAACAATAAAAGTGGCTTTTATTGAGTGTCACTTAAAAAAGTGTAACAATTTGACTCGACTTTGATCTGATTTCAATCATGCGGTTAATAAATTGCGATAATAATACTCTTTAATTATATCTTACATCCTTAAACAACACTTTTCTTAAAACACGTATCCCAGTTACATTAACCACTGATTTACCCTTTATTAAAATGAATTTATGTTAATCGACAATGGATTACTGATTATCTGAAACATTTTTCCCCAAAACTTCAAAATCCTTATCATTATCATATATGCTGTCGCTCATTATTAGTTAGTGTGATGAAATGTATCGTCTGAGATCAGGGATAAATGACACCAAACCACGAGCAGATTAAGGTCGAAAGTAACTGCTGGCAGAATTAATTTCAATATTTCAAAGGTTGCTGTATTTCTCATTGAGCCCAAATTCAATCCCGACAGGATAGCTATATGTATAACGTTGAAGAGAACAAAATATTAGGGGAACACACATGAAACTTCAGTATATACAACTTTGTACCTAATTAATGTTGATTCTTATCTTAAGATCGTTAAGGTTTCAACAGCTTGAAGAATCGGACGACTATTTACTCGTGTGACCATATTAAATATGGACTCTAATCCTCTTCGATGTGGACAATGAAATGCATATGCTAGGCCAGTACAAACAAATGACTAAAAGTGATAGCTAAGCAACTTCGTATCTTCTTATGTTCTAAGCTATATGATGGATTATGATACTTCCTGGTTATTAAGGCTACAAAAGTGAAGCTGGGTTCGAACCCGTATCCTAGTAACTGGTAGTCAAAAGACTAAGTTAATGAGTTATAATCCTGTTGATCAGTAATCATAACATCTTACTTCAATTTCATACATTTATGAAAGTCAAAAGTGGTATTGTCATCACAATGACGAAAATAAGATTACAACAAAAACAACTAACAGAATCGTGTTGTCAACATGTATTATTATATCCATTTGTATAAGCATTCGAGGAGGATTAAATTTAAAATGCAACGAAGGTGACAATAACAATAAAACCATAGTAAAATTAGCATAAAAGAATAGTACACAAAAGTGATAGTTCTTGATGATACGGAAGGGAGAGGGGGAAGCAAAAATCATCCTTCCCGTTCAGTGTCATACCTCTGTAATAGAAAAAAAAAGATAACGCGATTGTAATATTACGAATTGCCTGAACAAAACTAAATTTCAGGTTGTTACGCAACGACATTAATGAGGTTATTTTGTCTGACTATCTACTTTATTGTCTTTCGATAGTTTCTTTTCAACCATCCAGTTGTAAAATACGTTAATTCTTTCGTATAGACGTACGACGTAAAGTCCAAATATTTTAATGTTGTTTGAAGAGAACATATTTCTTTTAAAAAAATATGCTACTATGATTTCCCTCATACTGTAGTAAGGCCAAAAAAGAGGAGTGGTCTACCTGCCGCATAGAAGGGAAGGAATGCTGAATTAGAATGTAAACAACAAAACTGCTCAGTGAGTAATGTCACTAACAGTCATTCACGATAATACAATCAATCGAAAAGCCGTTATCCAGAGAAATAAATAATCTGATCCTAAACATGAATTAATTTTTTTACGTGCAACATTAGTTTATGAAAGTTTTCTGTGTTGAATGCGAGCGGTTTTCCATGAAATCACTACTCTTTATACTATCATCTTTTAGTTTCCATTGATCTGCATAGGGATCAATTAAGTTGCTGATGCACAATGAACTTTGTATGTTTGCAGAAAACTGGCTATCAGTTGATCCGTTTGTTCTATATCCAAAACTCTGTATGACAACGAAGGTACACACTCTTGAGGGGTCCAAAACGAAGATGAAACAACCACTCATGGGTGGTCCTCTAAAACAGTCATTAAAAATATCTCTAGAGTAGGGAATTTTTTTGGAATCCTACAATTATAATTATTGGTGTAAATATAACGACGACGAGGTAGGTGAGTAGTTTTTGTGGACTTCACACAACTTTCAGGCAAGCTAAATTTTTTTTAAAAAAAAACCAGGTTTACATACTGTCAACGTGGAAACCGGTATCTTTGAAAAAATGAAAACGCTTCAAATGGTAAACTATACTTAGAAGTTTTCAGTTAGATCGATGTCTCTGATGTACTTTTTGCGGCATCAATTCACAAATGAGTTGTGAAAGTTAAATAAAAACATTTAAAATATAGATATGCTTTCCAAAACAAGAAGCAAACATTTACTACAACACCTAGGTAATGTAATCAGTTTAGTACATGTGTCTATTTACTAGGGCTATGAGTCACACTTATTGTCTGAAGACATAAGATACGATTCGGTTACTCAAGCTGAAGTAAGTGAAGCCTGTTTCGAACTCTGCATTCATTGCTTGATATTTGAATGCTTAAATCTATGAACCGTGTCTGCACAATATAAAACCTGACTCTTAATCTCAAAATATTGCTAGTTATAACATTCAGCTGAGTGAGTATAAGTTAATCAAAACAGCTATTAAGTAACGAATTGACTGGTAACACTAGAAAAGTATCATGATTTTCATGCATCAATCGATGAGTTCTACACAAGACAATATAACTCCTTTAAGAATTATGTTCATTTCAATTTAATGCTGTAAAGATTTTATGCATCAAAGTCTAAATTCTAACCAATTAGATGAAAATGGAACTCTAGCAACGAACCAACCAAGAACCTATTACTCAACAAATAAGCAGAAGGAAGTGGAGATGGATTGAGCATATACTGCGAAGGCCGACTGGGGACATCAAGCGCCAGTCCCTCGAGTGGGACCCAGAGGGAAAACGATGAGTTGGGCCTCCGAAGATGACATGGAGAAGATTGTGTGAAGAAGAAATGAGAGCTTGTGGGCTGTCGTGGAGCCAGGTTCAAAAGTTTGCAGAGAACCGAGTGCACCGGAGATATGCTACTGAAGCCCTATGTTCCACTAGGAATCCAAGAGACAAATCATAATAATAGATGAGAATATTTTTTGCAAACTGATGAGAGCTGAACACACTTTTATCAAATGAAAGAACTTTCTTCAGTTTAGATTCTTCACCGGTAAATTAGTTGGGAAGTGGCAATTGCTGGAGTGCTGTAGTAAAAAGTGCTAGTGAAAATTTACAAACCAAGATATAATTTGGCTACTGAGCTCAACTATACAGCATAGCAATAGACTCGATTTGGTATTAAGTGTTCAAATTTCATGTCAAGTATGCAATTGACACCGATATTCATCAATAAAGCATATCGATATGCTTGAGGGAATACATACCTCGTCGGAGACTGAAACCTGCATTATCCAGCCCCGAAGTCAAAACTGGTAAGTAGGTGACTAGTTAGTATACTGTTGAATCAGTCAGCTGAAAGCTGTTAAGTGATAATAAAAAAAAGCATTAAAGGATCCTGGTAAGCAACAGGTCTAAAATAGTCAATACATTCTTCTGTCTATGCATATAATCCACTTACTGGATGTAACTTTTTTCTTGCAGTCTCCAATTTTTTCGAAGTTCTTTTACACGAGCTTCTTGACGGCGTATGTCATCATCTGTCACGATAAATGTCTAGTTAAAAGATTAATGAGTTTACATATTAGAAAAATTTTCATTTTGACTGAATGAACATTTAACACAATGGAAAATGATGACTCACTGAATGAATAATCGGATACAACAAGTGGAGACATATCTATTGATAATGATAATACTTAACAGCCTAGATATGCACAGCAATTAGTCTCCAGTAGGAATCCAGATAACGTAATTAAAACACATAATTTATCTAAAAAATGGATGTGATATATTTGTAGCATACACTTCGAATGATCTAATTACTCATTTACTTCTTAAGACATTTTATATGAAAAAGGTGAATGAGGATAAAAGTTATCCCTAGGTGATACCATGCTTTTTATGGGGTATAGCGTTCTGTTCACGAATTCGCATACTTTCTGTATGCTGTATGCATATTTTACCTATTTGTATAGTTTATAAAACGCCCTCTGTTATCGAATCATGTTTCATACTGTTAATTCATGTGTAAAGTAATGGTTGTACTTCTTCCCCCTAGTTAGGACGAGAGTACGTTTATTTATGAAGAATGATGCTCACAAATCAAAGTTAAATGAGCCTTCAAATTGCAGTGAAAAAGATTTATGACTGAAATTTTTACTTCAAAATATACGCATACAAAACAAAGAAAATACTTATTTTCACACAGAACACTATAGCACTTGGGGATAACTTTTCGCCTCACTCAAATATATATATATATATATATATATATATATATATATATATATATATATATATGACTAAAAAAGATCTAATAATTACAAAGGTAGTAAAGGAAGAACGGTAAGTTTTGAACCCAAGGTAGGTTAAGTGGAAGAATAACTTGTTTCTGAGCACATAAGAGTGGCTGAAATTTCGTATGGCTAGCACTTCAGCAAACCTAAAACGCATCAGTAATAAAGGTCATAGGATTGATATGAAAACAGCTTTAACAGTTTTGTATGGAAACTGTTAGAGCGCACACTTATGTCCACTAAAGCACTAAACGTAAGAAATCTAAGTCTTTCCTTGTGTGTTAATAAACAATTCGCCCTTGTACAAAAACTTACCCTGGTAATAGTTAACATAGCCTATCACCAAGGTTTGTTTCAAAACTTATTTCTTTATTACCTTTGTTCTGATTACATTCCTTCTTGTTATTTATTTTTCTTCTTTCAATTCCATTTTTCACACAAAATGCCTCGAAAAGTAAATGTCTGATTAGATCATTAAGTGTATGCTCGAAATATATCACATTTTTCACATAAATTATGTCATAATTACGCTATCCAAAGGCCTAGACGTCATGTGATGAAATGGGACTTGAGCTCCGTATCTTAGATACCGTATACCCACATAGCTTAGAACTCCGGTAGATTTATTACCTACTTAATTTTAATATGGATTTCGTCTGTTATTTAAAAAACCATGAAATAACAAAACAAATGATAAGATAGTGATGTGATTTATTCTCTCTTAACACATCTTATGAGACATACCTGTTGACGGCAGACATGGTAAAACTGTAAGTGTTTGATCATGAGCACCTTTGAAGCATCACAAAAATAAAGATAAGTAGTGCTGAGTATTCAGTGAAGAAGTTAGACGAGACTAAGTCCAGTCAACGCCTGCATTTATGCATAATATAGGTAGAGATAAAGACTCAAGGCGGTGACATCATAGCTTCTGCCTTGACATGCAGGTCGGATTTTCACATTGCAATGATTCAACAAGCTACATTAGCTAGAACACTTATTTTCTCGACGTCCTACCACTCCAGAAAGGTCTGTTAGGTAGTGATGAGACGAAAAGCAGCTGACGTTGTAGAGTAAATTGCAACACTATGATAAGAGTTCAAGGGGAAAGTCGTACTGCTGGATGCTAGCAGTAAGGTGTCCCTCCTGGATGACCAGCAGCGCCACGCTGATGCTACCTTCCCTGTGGAAAGGGGGAAGGGCTAGAAAGGTTGGTCTCAAAATACCACACTCCTCTCTGCCCCGCGGTCTTCCGGTGCCGGCGATACCGCCCTTCTCTTTCCGGCGTTAGAACAATCAAATCTCATAACAACAGTTCTCAAAAGAATCTTGAGGGGTTTGTGGGGATTAAGAGATATTTCAAGTTGGTATTCATCGTAGACTGACATCAGTTGGAGGAACAATAGAAACCTGGGAGCACAGGACAGCTGTTTCCTCCTAGTATGGGCGCACTACTGAAGAGTCCCATACTAGGAGGAAACAGCTGACCAGTGCTCCCAGGTCTCCAATGTCCCTCCAACTGATGCCAGTCTACGATGAATACCAAATTGAAATTCTCAAAAGACTGTGTACGACATATGTCCCATGGGCTCTGTGGTCACACACTATCTCTTTTTCCAGTTGCCTAAAAAAACTAGCCTTCTACGGTGTGGCAGCGGGGAAGTGTCAACTTCCCGCATGCTTCCAGTAGCACACAAGGCCCAATGAAACATAACCTATCCTCCTCAACCCTGTCTCCTCCTTTTACCTCACCTCCTGATACTAATACTAGGCCTCTTACACCTCACCCAACCTCTCACTCTGCAATCACTGTCAACGGTCAAAGCCATAGAAATCCCATTCCTAGTCCCCTAGGGCTCCACCATCGATTTTGTGCAGGAGCCTTCAACGGACAAACTCGATGCCAAATCGGACGGCAAGCATTGCTACACAGAACTCTGGAATCACTAGCCATGGATGTGTGCTGTGTCTCTGAGGCACGTGTAATGGATCCGAGTGCAGTTATTAAATTGGTCTCACTTGGTCACAGTAGTGAATCTCCGAAATTCACCTTACAAGTATTCGGAGACTCAACGGTTAGCTCTTGTGGACTGGCCGGTGTAGGCATAGCGTTGAGTTCTGGAGAAGGAGGTGCACTTTTCGACTGGATACCAATAAACATCCATCCTTGAATATCTGTCTGAATTCCGATCACATGCCAGTACGGACACATATGTGTGCGCCCTAGTGATCGCAAAAACAGGCGGTCGTGAAGCCTGTCTGTGCTCCATTGGAAGCTGAGAACGTTAAGTAGGCATTTGGCAGAAAGAACAGCTAAGCATTTATTTGAAAGTGACAGTAATTCTCATCCTGAGGAAACTAATGTGAAATTACTCCCACTGAAGAAACAGCCGTAAAGACAATTGGTAACCTACATCTCAAGGTTAGCAAACGTCACTGGATTTCCGCGACATCATCCGAACTGACTGATACGAGAAGACTGATTCCAGCCGTCTCCAACCCCAATGAAGAGCGAAAGCAACTTAAACGTAAGTTGGCCAAGAGTCTTCGCATTGATCACGAGTAGTGGTGGGTGACGGAAGAGAAAGAGAGATGAAGAAGGCATCAGCGGTGGGTAACACTAGGCAACTGTTTAGGCTCATTAAGGATACCGGTAAGAAGATGGTGATGAGTGAAGGCATCATCGGAAAGGATGGAACGCTGATAACCTTTAAGGAGAGGCGGTTAGAACGCGGCACAAAAGACTTTTAACACAGTCCCAGAGGCTAACAACAACGCCACAGTTGCCCATTATCCAACCCGAATGTGAACGGGGTGTAGATGTCAGTCCTCCAACTCTACTCAAAGTTGAGATAGCTGTTTCAAACCTGAAAAGATGCTAAGCAACAGGAACTGACGGTTTGACACCTGAAGCTTTTAGGGATGAATGAAGGGCACTACCGGTGAGGGTGACAGAGGTAATGGTTAGTGTATGGGAATCGGAAATAGTGCCGTCAGACTAATCTACTTCATGAATCATTCCAGTCTATAAGAAGGGAGAGGAGTATTCTGAGACAACCAAAGGAGAATCAGTTTAACTAATATCAGATACCATATCACAGAGTCAACAGTTTTATAATGCCTAACTGGGGCTCCAGAACAGCAAACTCGAGAAAACTAGGCAGGTTTCAAACCTATGTGAGGATGCATCGATTATATTTTCAACCTGTTGATAGGTCATCAAACGCAGGAATACTTACCGGCAAGCAATACTTACCATATTTCTTGACCTAAAGGCGGCAATAGATTCTGTTGACCTTAGAGTGTTGTGGCAGTATCTGAGTGCGAAAGGAGTACCGAGCAAGTACATAACACTAATCAAAGCTCTCTACTCAAACTCAAGCAGACATGTTAGGGCCTATGGAGAGTTGTCACGTGAACTGATAGGAACTAGTGGTGTCCGCCACGGATGCCCACTGTCGTCATCCCTGTTTAGTTTCGCTATAGATGTACTAATGGACATAACTTTAGATACCTCTGACTTCACAGGAATCGACCTACCACTGGAGGGCATCCAGCTGACTTGGAGTACGCAGACGATGTTGTCCTGACAAGTGAAGACGCTGACGAAACGTAAGAACTTCTGAACACACAAGCTGAGCAGAAATCTGAGTATTTTTGGCTACCATGCGTTCTGTACCTGTCAAATGAGATGATGCATCAGGACTCGTCTGCAACTATTCCGTTTAAGGATAGGGAGTTAAGTGGTGGGATGTGTCGACCACTTCACGTACTTGGGGAGTTGAATCAGTACGAATGGGTTGGTCGCTGACGAAATCTTAGCTTGGATGCCAACTTGCCAACTTGTGTCACACGTGGCGCCGACTGGCAAGATTTCCGACTATCTACTACAGGACGAGTACACTGCGCTGCAGTCTGTCTTGTCCTGTTATACAACTTAGCTGTTGAAAGCAGAAGATATGGAGCGGTTACAAGTTTTTACTCATAGGTGTCTTCGTGGCATCGCTCATGTATGATGGAATCACCATGTTAGCAATTCAGAGGTTTGGCGAGGGGTACTAAGTTGGAAGAGGGTTGAGAGTGGCCAGACCAAAATGTGAGACCATTTTATGAAGTCTCAGACGATAGGTTTGACCTATGTAGGAAGTTGTAGACTACATAGCTGGGGTCTTCGAGGAGATCGGAATTAGTGGTTGAGGACTTTTGGTGACATGGCTGAAAATCAGCCACAATGGTTGAGATGTATTCCTTTTTTTATGTCTTCTAAAGCTTGTATGTTTTGAATAACCTTAATTTTTGAATTCCTTCTCCTCCCAAGCATTTTTTTCTACTTTGATATCAGTGTTTCCCATCCACTTGTAATTTGTATACTACTGTGAAGTGTGGCAATTTGAACCAATGCACTTGTGTGAGAGGTTCAGCATTGATTTTGTCTGCCTATTTGACTAATCTCAGCTATTCACTACAGGAATTATACATAACAATGAAGTAAGAAGTCGATGGAAAAAAGACCTAACTAGTAATAACGATAGGAAAGATGGATGACTTCAGTGCTCCACGCTAGAAGAATAGATAATGAGAGTGCCAACCAAAAATTAATCAACAATTCATATTCTAACTGAAAATCTAAGATATGTAACTACATAGAAACTAAGATAGAATGTATTCTATCAGACAGAATAAATTCTTATCCTTTTCTAGCTTAAAAATTTATCGACAGTGAAAGAAGAAACAAGACCATCTTTAGATGAAAAAGCGGTTGTGAATGAATTCAGTAAATACTTAAGTTGAACCAATAGATTATCTTTACTGTAACAAAACATAACTAGGTTGGCAGTAAACCATAATACAACTCCATGAAGTACGGAGAGAAATCACTTATTGTTGTTTCCAAATCATTTCCAGTTACTATGATCAATCTTAACTTAGAAACGCATACCCATGAGCCTAGTAGTTTCATCTAAACAGTTCAGAGAACTCCCCATAAGGAAGATATAAATAAACTCAAATACTGGGACTATTACCCCAAAATTTATAATTGAATAAGATTCAACGATACATTATCAACAAATCGTGAACTTCAAATTGAATAACTGTTCTAAAAGTTTTGACGTATTTTAAGTAGTAGCATCGTAATGCAATAAATTAAGTACCTAATTTTTAACCATCAATTTGGAAATTAAAATTCTACTGAACTTATTGTTTAAGGTAGCTGAGTAGTATTCTAAAACATTACAGACAGACGTTGTTCTTTATCTCAGCTGCCTCGAATGAATTGCCTGCAACTTAAGGAAAATCCGACATAGATAAACTAGCAGAACAGTAAATAATTACATACACTCTGCTTTTGCTCGATTTAATTAAGTTTTCATTCAAACACTAGAATGTCGTTGGAGATGTCAGTAATGGAAAATATGTTTCATTGACCCCGAAACTGTCACTTAGCCAATGGTAAAACATCTGGATACTGGTGAAATAGAAATAATAATTAATAAAAGCACAGGTGTAGTATAGATCGCTAACAAAGGTTTATGGCTGACTAAAAAAATTTAAAAACTAACCTTGGCTAGTTAACCATATGAGTATTCTGTGGAATAATCTTATGAAGAACGTGAACAAACAAGTGCAAAAACGATTTAAAAAAATTCTTTACCTTGATCATAGGTTGTAAGTGATTTATAGTGACACATGGGTTTTTCTCAATAGCAGCAGGTTGTTGTTCTTGACCAATAATTGGAGAACTTTTACTCGATAGTGCATGAATTAAGCTTTGAATTAATTGAGCAGATTGATAACCTGGTACTCCAGCACCTGGGAAGGGATTAAAAAGTATTTGCAATAGAAATTATGCAAGAGACTCACTCTGCATTCCTTTAGGTAAAGAAATCGATTTGAAAGGTTCACCAGTATCTGGATTAACAGCCACATTATTAGCTAATCGTTTCTCCCAAAATAGCTAAGTTTGGATTTGTGCATAACAAGTTTTAATGAAGAAATGTACCTGATGGGGAGTTTCTAGATTTCCACTTTTCACATCTGTTCTCTTGCATTCAGGGTGGGAACGTACAATAACAGGTTTAATCTCATTTGCTGCTGGGAATGGACAGCGTCTCAGTGGTAGACTAGACTGATTGTCCATACGTGGAACTTACAGAGAGATAAAGATGTACGTAAAAAATTTAAAAAGCTGATACCTTTGGCTGATGAAGCATCTGTCGTTTGTTCTTCACACCTTTTAGACCGAAGGTTTGGAGAAAATTTCCCCATTCTCCAGTCAAATAGAGCGATATCGTATTTATCGCCTAAAATTGCTTGCATTTCTTGTTTGTTTCGAACAACTTGATTTTGAGGACTGTAAAATATTAAACAACTGCAATAATAATGTACTACCTAATGTAATAAACATCCGATTTCCCAGTACCTAGCCCATTAGGTCGCATACATTCTTCTCGCTTCCAACCGTTGGCAAAGACGATGGCCAAACTTGTTGTTGTTGTTGTCCAGATGTCGTTGGCGTTTGAACTTTATTATAATTTACATATGAACTACGCTTCGACTGACTACTTAACTGACTTGTAGGCATCGACTGATTTTGCATCACACGTCCTGTACAAATAAATAAGACAAAAAATACTAGAAATATTTAATGCAAAAGATACGGAAAATTTGACTCACTGCTCGCTAATACGTACTATACAAGATGGATTTATAGTCATTTATCAAATACACTTTCATTGAGTCAATGACTTCCCGAACACAAATCTAGATTTTCATTTCTCAGAAAATACCATTTACAGAAGATATTGCTCAATATGACTGACTAGTGTGTGTACATTATTTGATTAGTATAAAAAGAGATTTTGTAATACAGTGAGGACCCAAGATGTACAGCACAAAATGAAACAATAAGATCACGCAGATATAAAAATGTCACATAATATCAGTATTAATATTATTGCCGAAACTATTAACAAAAACAATGTAAGAAACAGTTCACATAAAATGAGAAGCAAAGCGCAAAGCACTTATTTTACCTTCATTTTTAACTGCTAGTGTGTAAGACGAAACAAAACAAAACTACACGAGTAGCGCGAACGAATCGCTTGATCTTGAGCGTCTCACCTGAACGGGTAATAAACTAATCTGAAACAATCTTCAGTTCTAAGCACCATGTATTAAAATGACTGATGATTCGAACATCCTAGCTGATCCCAGTGCTAAAAAGTAGTTGATCTGTAAAGACTGAGGTTGATAAGTCAATTTCTGTGAATGCCAAACCACATCTTGCTTCGATGACCGATGATCACTGAAACAGACATAGGCTGGAGGAAAGATGAAAGTAGTCATACTGGGGAATGAAGTTCGATCGACAATTTAAATTGTGTAGCTAGCTTAAGAGTTGTTAACAACAAGGTCCTTAAAGGTCACCAGACAGTAACTGCAGACTCCATGTAACGACTCGAAATATAGTAGGCTGATGATACAGTCACTTTCAATCCTTTCCAAAATTTGTGTGACAACCAAAGTGGAATCTATTTAACAGATCGTGCTGAAGATATTACAGTTAATAATCATCGGACGCCTAAATGAAGCTCAAGAACAACAAAATCCAGAAAATTAGGCAGGTTTCAGGCTTGGGAGATGATGCGCCGACCACATCTTTAACATTCAAAGGGTCTCGCAACGCGGCTATACTCACTTGTGCCCAACATTTATTATAATTCCTGATCTGAAGGCAACAAACGCTGTCAATCAAAAGGTGCTGTGACAGTGTTTGGTTGTTAGAGAGATACCCAAACTATCCCGGATGCCTAAGGGCTTATCGACAGTTGTTCACTAAAGTAACAACAACCAGTTCACGGAAACCACAACTATTTAAACTTGTTATGCATGTTCCGATGCATATAAGCTAATGAGGTTGTGAACCTTTATCGACTCAAGTGACTGGGACATCTGCTAAACATGCCCAATCACTGTCTACCCCGTCGCGCACTGTTAACTGAAGCAGGTCTAGGTTGAGAAATGAAGAGGTGGCCAAACTAAAACACACCATCAGTTATTAAAACCCTTGGCCGTTTGTCTGAGACATGTAGGGAAATGTAAACTACCCCGGTTGGGTTTCTCAGAGTTATAGGAATCAATAGTCAGAAGCTCTTGGAGAAATGGTTAAAATCAGTTACAATAGTACAGATGTATTCACTCCATGACATCTTAAAAAGTCTAAACGTCTTAACTAACCTCCATTTTTTTAAATCCTCTCCCTTTCCATACGCCTTTATCTACTTTAAAATAACTCCTCGACTCACTTGTTCCTTGCATGCTGCTGTAAGGTGTTGCAGCTTGATGCACTTCTGTGTGAGGTTTTACGTTGATTTGTCTGTTTATGTTCAACGTTTGATAACTTGTGCTATATCTGACTTTTACTGTTGAGATATAACTATTTTAAGTAGCAGAAATAAAAAGGCTATTGGTTTTCGGTCATACGTATCTTAAAAGCACTGCTCATGCATGGTGGAAACATCATACGATTAATGTTGACGTTAAGTGAGGAGGTTATTTGTGGTGTTGTATAACTCCATGTTAACTTCCTTACCAAGCAAATAAAACAGCGAAACAGTATTACCTAGTAGAAGACATTTCAAACACAATTTATTGTTAGTAATCGCACAATATCAACACCAGTATTAGTCACAGCATGGTTCATTACTTTGGGAAATATGTTTATATCCTGGATCCAAAGCTTTTTTGTTGACACCATTTCTAGGGCTAGAAATGTTTCTTTCCATAAGATTTGTTCGAACTTCACTAGCACGAAACATCAACTTACTAATACCCAGATGATCACCTTGATGACTATTATCAATAACATAAGGACTACCATAGAAAGCATGTGCTTTCAGTCTGCCGTCAATCGCCTAAGCGCATGATAAAGTCGTCAGCTCTCCTCGTCTTTTTTGATATCAGTTGTTGCTTGAAACGGAATGAATTGACGTATTTAACGACTAAATCATATCATTATTGTTTCTAGTTCATAAAAATTACATGGCAGCAGTGTGACGAAAAAGCTTGTGATTGGAAACCTGTAATCTGATGTTGTTTACCTTCAGCAGGTGCCTCAGTCGTACCTGGGAGTGTAATACACTCGACTTCCAATAAACTGCAACATAGATGAGACATGGGTAGATGCAAGAAAATGAGCTTACCTATCTGTTCCTAAGACGACAAACAGCTAAGTAATGTAGGACTCACAGAAACTGTGTAGAGACCCAAGTTTTGCAAAGAAGGGAACTTACTGCCATATATAGAAGTCGGTGAAGTGCAACGAAAGTAAAACAGACCTATGTATTATAAGTTAACTTGTTTAGGCATCTTTAACAATGCCGACAGAAACTGTGAATTAGACACCTCAAAATAGAGCTGTCTATAGCATTGTTATGGTGCCAGTTTCTCAACGACTTTAAAATATAGACCACTGGTCCATTCAGCATTATCTGGCTTTCAACAATGCATCAGTAATGCCTGAACAACAAATCTTTGTTTTCAAGTTGTTTCCTATGCACAGATAATGTTATACGACAGATGACGTATCTGAAAGAAAATCAGCTAGTAGATTTTTTACCAAACCTAGAATGTGCTTTTAAAAGCTGTAATGAAGAATACATATTGAGCACAATGAAACCGAGAAAACTAAGTAGTTTTTAGACCTGAGCATGAGTCTATCGACCAGAACTTCATCCTCCACCAGGTCTTGGAACATAGACACACTAGCATTCGACAGATGTAATTCCTGACCTGAAGGTGGCACTGAATTACACTAATTGAAAGGTTCTATGGTAATGTCTCTCACTGGAAGGATACTAAGTACGTACATAGCTGCATAAATAGCTTAATATCAACTTGCGGGTGTGTTAGATCTCACGATGAGCTACCACATGGACTGCACAAGTGAATCGGTGTTTGTCAGGTGGACCTACTGGTTCTACCTGTATTTAAATTTGTCGGGTTGGTTTATAGGTGTCTCTTCATTAGATCTTACAAACTGTCGGATGAGACTGCTTAGTACAGAGATGATGTAGTCTTCTTAGGTGAAGACGCTGACAAAATGCAGTCTTTTGGACACCCTAAGTCGTAATTTTAGAATTTTTAAGATGCGTTTCTACACAAATCTAAATTGTTGCTTTTGGACTGTTTCAGGTTGACACCCTGGCTGAAGTGGCTAAGGGAGTTGATCACTTCACTTAGGAAGTCCGATAAGCCTTGATGGGTCAGAACCGATGTCAGTGGCGCAGATGTATACGCACATTATCCTCATCTTAACAACGCTATACCGAATCTCACTATTTTGTCACTCCTCTTCCCTTTCTTCTCGTACTTTATATTTCTTTTGACTGCATTCACTTATCTTCATCCTTCACCTCACTACCTTTCTACTTGATGAACTGACGTGAGGTGTGGCAACTCGGACAGTTACGCAGTAATGCCTGATCCTATGTTGATAATGATGATGATGGGTCAGTGACTGACGAATCCTTGTACGGATATGAAAAACTCGATTGATTTCTGTGAACTTGCACCATATATCACCAGTGTGGTACGCGACCCCTTACTATGAGTTGAGCTAATGAGCAGCAGTCCACTCTGTCATACTGTACGGCTCTAAAACATGGGAGGTGGACGACATCAAAAGGTTTCTGGCATTCGACCAACACTGAGTTCGTAGCACTGGTCATACTTCGTGAAGGTACCAGGTTCGTAACGTGATTAGGCGTAGTCTTAGGCAAAAGATGTAATATAACTCATAAGGTTGCAAATGATTACCAATGACGGTGACTGCAACAAGTATCATGCATACCTTGTCCCTGTCTGCTCTGACGCACAATGTTAGTCAAAGTAGATATGGGCTGGGAAAGATTTAGGCCAGCTAGACCAAAACATGGCATCAATTAATGAAATTGCTGACTACTGAGCTTAGTCATGTGAGGAAATATTGACATCCTGGTCATGGTCGGCACAACAACCGATGATTCCACAGAATATGGCTCAGAATCGATCTCAGTAGTGCAACCGTCTTCAAATATTATCCTAATCGTCATGTCATATTTCATCATTCATTTAACTTCCTTTTCTCCCCCCCCCTTGACTTTCGACTATATCTGATCACGACTTTTCCCTATTTCTTTATCTTTTACGATGCTGCCTTGTATATCAAGGTGGTAAACCTACGCAGAATTGCCAGTTCCTATACTGATAACGACTGGCTGACATCGAATTGTCTTCAGTTTATGGCAACCAACATTTGTACTTGTGTTGCGCTGGCAAAATAACATTCCTGATGACCATCATAAATCAGCTGGATAAACTCCTCGATAATCCTACTGAGCTTACATTTTGAAAAGATGCCATTCCGAAGATGAATTGCTAATAAAACGGCATCCACAAAATCGCAGACATCTCCTTCCGTAAACTATCGCGAAATATGGAGAGGATAATTAACGCCCAAACCAGCAGACCAGATTGAAATTTAGATTATGAGACCCAAACTCCACAAACATCATTTTCAAAACACAGCAGACGTAATGTCGAGAAGGCTGGTAACACGGTTTTATTAGTTCCAACAAATACACTAATGATACGTAATATAGAACAGAAGTGACGTGCATGTGTTCTTTGAGTAAAGAACCAAGGCATCGGTTGGTGAAATCATGTTAGGAGTGCAGTTATGCTTAACCTCGACAGTCTTCAAGTTTCAGGGAAAGATATACAGACAAACAGAAGGAGTAGCAATGGGATCACCAATATCCCCTATAGTAGCAGATATATTTATGGATAGTTGGGAAGATATGGCTTTACGAACATATAATCCGACACCTAAGATATGGTGGCGATATGTAGATGACACATTTACAGTGTTGAAATCGGAACATATCGACAGTTTCTTGACACACATAAACTCAGTAGTTAACGCAATCCAATTCACCTACGAAGTAGAAAATGAACAAGGAGAATTACCTATGTTGGATTGCAGAATAAAACGAAGGATAGATGGTGGTTTAGATACTACCGTCTACAGAAAACCAACACATTCTAACAGGTATCTAGACTTCAAGTCATCTCATCCAGTGTCAGTTAAAGCGGGTTTAGTCAAATGTCTAAATAACAGAGCTGAGAAACTCACTAGTCATTGTAAGGACTTAAATAAGGAATTGAAACACATAAAAGAAGCGTTAATAACTAATAATTATCCCCATCATTTTATTAAGAAATTCACACGGACGCATAAGAAGCAAAATAATAACACTAATACAAATACAAATAATAGTGACAACATAAGTAGAAAGGAAATCAGCACCTCTATTGTGATACCATACAAGGAAGGAACATCAGAAACCATACGTAGGATTCTCAACAAGGTTGGAATTAGGGTGGCATTTAAACCAACAAACTCACTTAGAGGTAAGCTGTGTCGGCTAAAAGATCCGATAGAACCAATTAAGCAAAATAATATAATCTACCAAATTCCATGTAATGACTGTGAAGTCAAATACATAGGTCAAACTAGCCGGTCGGGGTCAGTTAGATTAACAGAACATAGGAATTTAGCTAAACATAGAACGACAGACCCCAATAAGATCAATAACCTAGAAAAACACTCAGCCATTGCATTACATTCATTAACACACAACCACACAATAGGATGGGACAAAACCACTGTACTTAAGTCTAATATAGCTAGATGGAGAGAGAGATTAATTACTGAATCTTTGTTCATCGAATCCACACCCAACACATGTAATAGGAATGACGCAACACCTATACCAGAGATATGGAAAACTTTACTACCAATCAAAAAACAAAAAAACAAAGAGAGATCAGGTGACAGGACTATAAAATCAGATGTCGAAAGAAGTGTGATTACATTGATATGATTATGAGCAATAATTTATGCTCGAAACGTAATCAAGTAAATAATACTGTATCACTGTGCGCTTTATATCAAATAAACAAATCTAATATGAAAACTGGAATCTAGTTGTTAATTTCCGAGTTTTGACCCGAATTATATGAAACGCGTGGACCACTATGGTTTTTTTTTCAGAACGAATATGTGAATTATTCAAAATAGTAGTTACCTGAATATGACAACAGAACTATAATTCTATAGCACTTATAAGGGCCAAGAACAAAGAAAAGTGGAGAACTACATGCAATTACCATGAAATTTCGGAACCGTCTAGACAGGAAAATGTCTGCGAAAAGTGGAGGGATTTGACATTTTGAAAGTAACTGACAATTTAGTTCGCCGAATTTTGTAGACTATCTCAAACGAACAAGGATTCTCCGTTAATGGAGAAATAATGCGGTGTGCTTTGCTTCCGAATGCAGAAACAATACGACTAAGCGACTTTTAGACGAGTTTCCCCATATCTTCCATAAAAATTCCGTACTTAAAGAATTATATGCTGATCCATACGGAAATGCAGCTCTTTCCTCACATTAACGCACAACGTATGTTATTAATCACTGGTGACATAATTTACATCAAAGGGACATATTTTCCTTGTAACGATAGAAAACATATCTTAAAATAATGAGGAATATACCTAATCTTGAACTCAGCTGAATGTTACTAATCGAAATACCACGAAAGCAGTGACATTGATATTCGCCGCCGGTGAATGTACTAGCAGTTGTCTGAACCGTGATTGGCCATTTTAAGGTCACACAAGTGTAACGCCGTCATGTGATTTTTCGAATCCATCAATTACACTTCACGTACAGTGATAACCAGTCTACTCCAGTTCCCATCACTTCAATCAGAAGTAGGTCACCGAAAACTCTAGGAACAACTAATCAGCTGAAAGGTGGCGAAGCAGAGTGTTCTAGGGGTATCATTGACGTCTTATCTAATGTCCAATACCTTTTAGCATGCTAGTTTAGACTAATTGGTTTCTTCGTGCTCGCTTCTAGGTCTTGTGGGACAGTTTCAGGTCTTCGGTGGATTCCGATGCAGTAGGCCTACACATCGCCAGCTTGTAGCATTTTATTTCACTGTATTGTGTTGACATATGTCTAGTTCTACTGAAAAAGACTTTTCGCCCGCTCGTTGACTAATGCAACGTCCTGATATATACTTCGCGTTAACTCCTGATATTTACGTTGTCTGACGCAAGTGGATCAGCAGTGTCGGGAATTATAAATGGGCGATAGTGTATCTGAACACGTATATAAAATTTGGAGTCAGATTTCAGAGCTAGACAAACTGGTGAGCCTGGCGTGATTAAACTCTCGCAGGTTTCACGGGTGGATATTATTGTTGTTTTCAGTTGAATACTGCAGCCAGTCATTAATGACTGTATACAATAAGAATATACATATATACTGGGAATTTCTCCGGCTGCTTTGTGGTAGGCATTGACACACGTTTATCGTATTTTTCCTGCTCTTGTTCTTAAATATTTTTTCGCTGCACCAGTACTGATGTCCTTAAACTGTCATAATCAAGAATTTTCGAACTTAGGGTCCGTAGTTGCCACTAATCTTCCTATGCCTTGTTTTAAGTTTAATGACGCGCAAGTGTGGTTTGTCCGTCTAGGACATTTCATCATGGCCAATCATATAACTTCACAAAACACAAAGTTCGGATACACAAGCCCTGTTTTTCCGGAAGTGGCTGAACAGGTAAGGGAGACACTATTAAAGCACCACCCAGACACACCTTGTGATGCTTTGAGGCAGGAGGTGCTGAAAGCTACTTCGATCAACTACTAAGTAGCATATGCCTCGGTGACAGAACACCTTCACAACTTAAGCGACTTATGCACAGTCCGCTGAAAGATAGGAACGTAGACAACCGTTTATTCTACCAGCTCCGGCTGCGGAGACTTCCTTCATGCATTCAGCAGATATCAGCTGTCGGAGATGCGGACATTGACAGGTTGGCTGACATCGCTGACCGTATGTACGAAAGGATGCCTAAACCGGTTGAAGGTATTGCTGAGCCAGAGCAAAACGACCGAGTGGCCGCTTTAGAGAGGAAAATCGACATACTTACAGGACAACCGACGGCTTTGCAGTTAAACCGACGGTCACCGAAGTTCTGTAGAAGCAGATCCCGTAGTCGTGATAGGCCCATGGGTGGAAATGCGTCTAAAAGTAGCACTTGCTGGTATCACAAGAAGTTTGGCAGTAAAGCACGTCTTTGATTTGATACTCTGGAAGGCAGTGAACTCCGTCCTGCTGACAGCGTTTCAGAATAAGGATGCTGTTTTGGATAGTTGTAACCAAAGCCTGGATAGAAAACGCCATTCATGGGGTTCAAACCTCGTGGTTCGGAATAAGACGAAGCACAACCATAATGCCCCATGGAATTATATATTTTAATTGCTTTCTAGGCATACTGTCTATCCCGCCAAAATCCGGCAGTGAAGCAAGTCGTTGTTTGTTACCATGCGGTTTTAAAACCTTTTCATCGGGAAACGGAGAGGCCGGTGATCAGTGACGACTGCTGTCGCCGGCGTGCAACAACACAGTCGTTTGTTTCGAGTGACGGATAGGAAGACTGGAGCTCAGTTTCTGGTTGACACTGGAGCGGAAGTGAGCGTGATCCCACCCACACCTTCCGAAAAACGCCATCCCAACCCAACTTTGGTACTACAAGCGGCAAATAGATCTGCTATTACTACATATGGGACCAGAATTTTGATCCTAGACATTGGCTTTCATACACCATTCCAGTGGGAATTCGTCATAGCTGACATATCGTCGCCTATCATTGGCATGGATTTCCTTCAACACTACGAACTATTGGTCGACTCTAGTCGCCATAGACTAGTCAGCCGTAATGGTGAATTTTCTATCACCGGTATCGTTACGGAGACAAAAACAATAAACTTAGTCGTAGCTCCAATAAACAACACTTCCGAGTACGATATCCTTCTGCGAGAATTTCCCGAGCTCACTCAAACGGATTACACGAAGTCCTCTCCAAAACACACGGTGACGCACCATATTCTTACAAAAGGTCCTCCAGTCTCATCGAAACCTCGACGCTTAGACCCTAAAAAGCTGCAGATAGCAAAACAGGAATTTGATAAACTTCTAAAGTTGGGAGTTATACGCCCTTCCAAAGCCCATGGTCATCACCCCTGCATATGGTACCTAAAAAAGCATCAGGGGAAATACGGCCTTGCGGTGATTATCGAGCGTTGAATAAGCGTACGGTCCCTGATAAGTATCCAATTCCTCACATACATGATTTTATGAACTCTATGACAAAAGTAAATATTTTTTCCAAGATTGACCTCGTGCGAGCTTACTATCACATTCCTGTGGAACCCAATGATGTTCCTAAGACGGCCATCACTACGCCCTTCGGACTATTCGAATTTATTCGTATGCCGTTTGGTTTGACAAATGCTGCTCAAACATTCCAAAGATTTATAGATCAGGTACTCCATGGCTTACCTTTCGTCAGTGCATACATAGATGACTTAATAGTAGCTAGCGCATCTGAAACAGAGCACCTGCAACATCTGAGGACGCTTTTCGAACGACTGCGTGAATATGGCATTACAATCAATCCGCAGAAATGCGAATTTGGCAAGGAATCCCTACAGTTTTTGGGTCACATTGTTAATGCCAACGGTGTTAAACCGGTTCCGCAAGAAGTAGATGCAATTCGAGAATATCCTGTTCCAGACTCGTTTCGAAAGCTGCGAAGATTTCTGGGGTTAATAAACTTCTATCGACGTTTCATACCTAAATGTGCTGAAGTAGCCCAACCGCTGACAGATTTATTGCAAGGACGAGCCAAAGTGTTTCACATGACCCAAGCGGCCCATGATGCTTTTGACAAACTGAAGCTGGCTCTAAGTTCTGAAACTCTTCTCTCTCGTCGTGATTCAGAAGCACCACTAGCCATCATGACAGACGCTTCAAATGTTGCGGTAGGCGCAGTACTACAACAGTTTGTTCACGGTCAGTGGGAACCATTATCTTTCTTCTCGAAACGACTTAATGCTTCTCAATCGCGATACAGTACATTCGGCAGAGAGCTACTGGCGATTTACTTGGCTATCAAGCACTTCAGATATATGCTCGAAGGGTACTCATTTATAGTATTCACCGACCATAAGCCACTCACAAAAGCAATTGATGCAAAGCATGACAACTACTCGCCCCGAGAAATTCGACATTTAGAATTTATTTCACAATTCACTTCAGATATAAGGTATATCAAAGGCAGCAAAAATGAGGCAGCTGATGCTTTGTCTCGTATGTACGTAAACGTCTTAGAACGTGACCGTATTGACCTAGCAGAAATGGCAAAGTTGCAGGCCACGGATGAGGACTTGAAACATTTGAAAAACAATGTGAACACCTCATTACGTCTTGAAGAAGTGACACTTGATGACTCTGTATCCATCACCTGTGATGTATCCAAGGGTAAACCGCGCCCGTTTGTGCCGTTATCAATGAGACGATTAGTCTTCTCTAAGATGCATGGCATTTCACATCCTGGTATTCGAGCTACGGTGAAGTTAATTACTGACCGATACGTCTGGCCAAAGATGAATCGAGATCTTCGACAGTGGTCCAGAGCTTGTTTAGCGTGCCAGCGATCGAAAGTGCAAAGACATATTCTTTCACCTACGGGAAGATTTTCCCACCGGATGGCAGATTTGACCATATACACGTTGACATCGTTGGACCACTACCTCCGTCAAATGGTTTTAGCTACATTTTAACATGTGTAGACCGATTCACGAGATGGCCAGTGGCAATACCTCTGCAGGATATATCTGCCGAAACAGTAGCGAGAAATATCATCCAACACTGGATTTCTAACTTTGGTGTCCCAAGTGTCATCACCACAGATAGAGGTGCGCAGTTCGAGAGTAGTCTATTTCAACAGTTAACTGAACTTCTCGGGATCAAGCGCATAAGAACCACTGCGTACCATCCTGCATCCAATGGTATTGTCGAAAGGTTCCATCGACAACTAAAAGCAGCACTGATGGCAGTAAAGACTGATGACAAGTGGAGTGACAAATTACCACTAGTACTCCTTGGTATACGTTCGAGTGTCAAGCAGGACATTGGTACTTAGTTAGTTTATGGAACTACTTTAAGATTGCCAGGAGAGTATTTTAACCCGGCAACAGACGTTCCACCGGACTTGACTAACTATGTACAACAACTACGGCGACACATGAGCACACTTCGACCTCAGTCCCCACGATACCGAGACAACCAAGTTTACGTACCTCAGTGCATCTCAAACTGCACTCACGTTTTCGTCCGACACGACGGCGTACGAAAACCCTTACAGCCCCCGTATGAAGGACCTTTCAAGGTAATTAGTAAATCAGACAAGTTCTAGTTCCATAAACGTTGGTTTGATTCTATCAATGCTGACCGTTTCTCGCCTACTCGAGCGTTCGAGTCTAGACCCGCAGTGAAGCAACCGGAAACACCGAAAACCACCGTCAAAACAGAAACAACGGCATCGGAATCACCCAATAATAGTGACGGTAGCAGAACCACGAGATCCGGAAGAAGAGTCCGTTGCCACGACGTTACTTTCAGACAATTTGCACTTCATAAAACCAATCCCTAGTAACATTATTATCGCTTTTGATGATCACCTTGTTGAAAACATGACCACACAATTTTGTCAGACTTTCCTGCATTCACAAAACAAAAATTTTTTCCGGG